CTTGTTTCCAGAACGCCTCGCATAGGAACGAAAATCCCAAATTATCCCATTCCCACCAAGAAAGAACACCCAAAGACTCTATTCATCATCCGATATGTCGATGACTGGTGTCGGGGGTGGCCTTGGTTGCCTACTAGCATGCCCATTAACCGAACCTTTAGGTTGCGGTGCTGGTGAATCGTCATCAGACTCCTCCGGCTCCCATACTGCAGACCACGCTCCATCAGGAGCCACTTTGATGTTTCTTGTCCGAGTGTCGCCATTGCTGATCAGCGAACGCCTCACTGCTGCGAGATAATCATCCACCAAGAGACTGATAGGACGTGCATCGAGTCCGCATATTGGACAACCCCATCTGTCCACCAACGAAGGTTCTTCCCCCTGTTGCTGCGGGCCGCCTCCTTTTTGAGGCTCTTTTCCACTTCTGGTCCCCAAGAACGTTTCTAGATCAAAACATTCCAAGTGCTTGCATTGACCGCCCCTGACAGGAACCGCAACCCTCTGCTTACTAAAAGGGTCTGCCAAGGAGATTGGCAGAGTCTCGTCCTGGACGATGATGTCGTCTGAATCCGAGGGACGCAAGCGGCGTATTATCTTGTGCTTCGTTTCCTCTGCTGGGAAGTGCCGTGACTGTATAAGGTCAGTAATCGCCTTATGGCTCATTGTCTCCACTATCTCAATCGCCATAAAATGCTTATACCCCGGCTTGGAATTCTGTTCAACAGCAGGATAGCTGATGGTCATCTTGTTCTCACCCTCAACTAAGAAATCTGTCAACTCCAACGGCTGATCTTTATGAAAATGTTGTTTTCGTCGTAGCTCAAGGGACTTTGAATTCAGGTCAAAAAATATATGGCTAGGCCAGCAAGTTGCAGACATCACCCAATCTGACTCGCATGGTTCAGCTTGTGTCTCAGGTTGCACAATCATTCGCAGCCGGTAACGACGAGAGCCCTCGGAATAGTAGCAAAATGGAAGACCAATGCCCTCGATTTTCTTCGCTAACTTTTGTATCTGTTCTTTTGTCACGTTGAAAGACAAAGACCGCAGTCCCCTTTGAGGCTCAAGGGCTAGAGGTTGGTATACTAGCTGTCTGACAAATTGATAATGTCGAGTTTTGCCAGGAATCAAGGGAACACGCCTGGGACTGCGTACACCGACATGCTGCAACCCAACTTGAAGTGAGCCATAGCCATACGGGCTAGCTGGATATTCGGCTTCCGGTATTTGCTGGACGGGCCCGGCCAGTGAATGCGGATAGCTAGCGACCGGTACCTGGTATGCTGGATTTCGTGGCCCTATCGGGTGAGCGGAATAAACATGAGCTGGCGGAGCTGGCATTATGTTATATTGCGGATTAGATGCCCTGCGAGGTGGGTTTAATTGATTGTATGCCATTTGAAACTGCGGGGACTGCATAGGCTGGCCATGATGATGAGGGCTCATCTGCGAAACTGGACTCGAGACTTGCGGCGTTCCTGCCAGCTGGTGTTGCGGTGCTTGGTTTTCGGTGTATGTCCCGTGAGGGGCGGGAAGCGCCTGGGATGGATGTGCAAACGAGGCTGCTCGTCGTTGTAATAAAGGGTTATTCGGCGGTAAAATAGCTGTTCGTGATGGGCCATTCGATGGAATGATAGGAGTGTTGTTAGTCGTGGCAGGAGATCCGCGGTTTGGCAGTATCGGGAGCGACCCAGCGCTTGATGACCTAGGTAATGGATGCTGTGGTAACTGGGGAGACTGGTAGGCAGTGGCAAAATGAGGCGACGATGTTGTAGTATCAGTTTGGATGTGGAGGTGATTCGGTCGTCGTAGTCCCTGGATCCCGCTGACACTGTTGCCTGTAGAAGGCGGGTGGCTACTCACAGACGCTGGGCTTACCACCCTTGGGTCGCCTACAGGCCTAACAGCGAATGCATCGAAATGTGAGGGAAGGGGAGGAGATGAAGCAGGTGCGGTATGCACGGGATAAGATGGGTCAGTTGCTGTAGGCGGTAGCGATTGATGTCCACGTTGTGCAGCTATATGAGCACTCGAGCCTGCATCTTTTAGCCGGAAGAGTGAGTATTTCGTTGAAATAGGAAGCGGATTCTGGGGTAACGTACTGGATGTTGCTCGTTGAGCCGATATAACAAGGTCCCGGTATTTCATCGCAATTGCCTCCCTCGCGCGTTTGAGGGTTTCAGGAGCCTCAACGCGAGCCTCGTATGCAGCTTCGTCCAGCCTATCCTGATCAAAAATGGCGTTCATCGCAGCTGCCACAGGTCCGTCATTTATGCCAAGGCTCCTGCGGCTCATGGTGAACAGCATAGACTGTAGACCTTTGGCTCGGCAACGTAGGACGAATGTCAGCTCGTATGCGAGCAAAGGATACTTTCGTGCTAGAACATTTTGTGAGAGCGATTGCCAGGTTGTTGCTAGTTGGATGAGAAATGCAGAAATGTCTCTAGCCGCTTCTGTATTGGGGAAAACCCTTGAGAACTCAGCAATGGTACTGGGAAAATTGGCAAACCATTGCAGATGTGCATGGGACATGTGTTCATTCTTCCTAAGAATGGTTTGCGCTACGTCAAAGGCAGCATCCAGCAGGTTTGGCTGCACTAATCCATGGAAGAGCGCATGAATCGGCCCTCTATTTAAGGACCAAGCACAAAGTGCCTGGTGAAAAGCAATGTAGAAGAAATCTTCGTTCTGGCATGCTTCCGCCAAGATCCTGTATCGTGGTTTTTCAACTGTCTCATTCAGGAGCCCGGCATGGGCAGCTTGTGCCATGCGGTGGTCGATCGAGTTGGACCATTTTAGACAGATATTTCGGTCTCTGGAATTTCCCGGACTTGTTGCTTCTTGAACCCGAGGGCGCTTTGCTTGATGACCAATAGCAGTGGCTGGTCTGATATGCTGTCTCGAGTTCGTTTCTAGAGGCACTCCTGGATTTCGAGGGCGTATTTCTATGTGGGAGAGCGGCGAGGCTGTTGCCTGAGGAGCTTGATCAGCCAACGGAGGGCCAGTCGCCGCAGGTTGAATTGTCGGTTGAGTGACGTAGTTTTGCTGTGGCATAGAAGTCCTGGGGTGCAAGGAGATGGCGGCCGTAGAGTTTGGGTAGCTGGTATTAGTCGCGACGTGTGTCGAGTCGCTTTCGTTCATGTTACTATCAGAGACTGGCCCCCCGGGCCCTGCGCTTCCTACGTGAGCGCTTGGATCGGGATGAGTGCAGTCGGTTTGATTCGAGACATTCGGGCTCGGTGCGTCGGTCAGCGCCGGAGAGGGCAGGACGGTCGAAGCTCTATGATCGAGTCAGAAATGTTGGAGAATGTAAGCAATGTCAACGTTGGTGGCGATAGTTCGAATCCTAGAAGGACATGCAAGGCTACGAGACGCAGCCGAGGATCCGTTGCTTGGCAAAACAACATGCCCGAGAGGATGGGAAAGGGTCTTTAGTTAGGGGAAGATCATATACCTTGCTGATTCTCCGGCACCTGGTTGTTGTTCGAATGATTGCTCGGTCGGGTGATTATCGCGATGTATGTCATTGTCGTTCTGGGTTGGGGGAGCAGCGTCAGACACCTTTCTCTTTTTGTTCCGTTGCCGGGAATTACTGGAGGCTACTGGAGCGAGTCTAGTAGGGTTGGTTGTTGCGGATGGGTCCCCTGTCATCCATGAGCGAGCGCGACCACCAAGGAGGAAATTGACAGTTTGGTTGGAGGAAGCGATCTGTTGAGCATCGGGTGAAGGGTTAGCCCGTGACTGATTCGACTTTGAGGTATGTGGCATTTCACGGATGTATGGTGTTTTTTTTTTTGTATGAAGATCTGGGTCACGATGTAGAGTTGCTGCAAAACCTGGGCGCGGAACACTAGTTGAAATCATGCTTCAACGTCGCCGCTTTTTGAAGTAGAGTGCCGCAGAGTCAATCATGGTTCAGCGAAGTGAATTCGCACGATCAAGGCAGCGAGGGTCGTGAATCAACATCGAGAGCGAAGTGGTTGAGGTGAGTGAAGTCAAGCACAAGACAAGGCAAACAGCGATGTTGTCAGTGCAGCTCGACGAGCAAAACCAACCCAATAGCACAGCCTGCGGTGGAAGAAATTTGAGGTCGAAGAAAGGTCGATATCAAGACTTATCAGAGGGATGGGTGTCCGTGGCTGCGTAAGTAGGTAGGTAGATGGTTGGATAACTGGATAGATGGGGGATGTGTGAATATTGTTGGTTGGAGGCAAGCGGAGAAACCCTGAGCCCAATTTCGAATAGTTGCCAAATAATGGGAAAGGTGCAAGCGCAGGCAGTCGAGCCTTCCATGGCAGAGATATTATTGAACAAAGGAAAATAAGGTAGGGTAGGTAAGGTAGGTACCTTGGGTGGCGCCAACCGACCTTGAGAAGGAAGGCTTCAGCTACCAACAAACAACCTAACAAAGAAATGAGGGGGGAAGAGCAAAGAGGTAGGTACGTACCTAGGACAAATACGCAATACATCCAATACATGGTAGGTACTAACTTTCCTACCTAGGTAGTACATCTTGTCGTTCTGAGGACTGGATGTATGTACCTTAGCTGCAGCCAGCCGATAGTCAAGTTCTCAAGTGGCTGATAGGTACCTTACCCTCCTGGGGCAGGAAAACAGCGAACCTTTATAGGGTGTTAAAATAAACTTGGTAAAAGCTATCCTAAGCTTAAGCTATATTGCCTAAGTCTTTTTGTCATTTAGGATCAAGGTCCTGTTCTTTCTTTTCTTTCCTCCCCTAGCTTACCGACCTCCCTATGCTTGGTGGAAGTCCTTATTAATGTTCACAATTGCACTGCATGTCTCAGGCCTACAGCATGAATCATATGCCCTATTGTGAACCTATTCCAAAATAGATGTTTATCGACGTCTGTACCCTTGAATGTCTTCTTTCTTATCGAGATGCTCCCTCTCAAAAGACAAGTTTGAATTTAGGCTACCGCAATTTTCGCTTAGACCATTGCTTTGTGTACATTATCATACGTATCACGTATGTGACTCAGCGCAACTACCTACCTCTAGGTATGGACCCTTCTTTTTTGTCTGAGAAAAAAAGTGTGAGAGCGGGGAGAATGTGATGTGATGTGATCTTGGCATTGACGTTGACGTTGACTGGGTTCTCGTTTATTTAAACTCTGGTGAACTAACTTAAAAACATCCTGTGTACCTAGTAGGATGAATTTGTCCATTATCGAACACCAAAACATTGGATTCGTCGTCGATTATTTGCCTCGAATCGTTGTCTTGGATACACACCGTGTGGAATTCCATTTCTCACCACACGACGACTTATGTTGCCTTTTGCTTCAGCCAGCCAAAAGTCTTGTTGTGCACAAACCATATCGGTTTGAAGAATTATACGTTACACGACCTGCACCGTGCCTCATTTCCTCATATGAATGACAAGTATGTAATCGGAAGTAGGTTGGCTGGTTGATAACCAAGGCCCCATGAGTTCAACAACACCGTAATTTCCGTTTGCTGCAAAGCGTCTGGTCATAAAAGCAGGCCTCTGCCACAATTCCGGAGAGCCATGATCATGCTAACGTTGGGACAGATTATCAAGACCCAGCAAACAAGACCCAGCAAACAATCCTGTAAGTTGTCATAGCAAGTACATGCCAATGTTGGCTTGTCCTCAAATGTGTCTGTCTCTCACCCATGGTTATAATTCAGCTTGACATGGGAATCAATGGGGCCTGGGTACCTGATATGAATGCCAATAAACAGTAGCCAGTTTGTTGCGCCAGGATCTTTGATTGCACGATAACTACCTTAGGTAAGGTACCTTACATAGTGCTAAGTCACGATGGCATTCCTTCCTCTTATTATGAGCCATATAGCCCTCATCATTTTCATCGTGAATCTAGGGCCACTAAGGTAGTGCGCACTTATGACACAGCACGTAAGTAGTCAGGTCATATGTATATACTACTGTCAATGGATGGGAACAGGAAGAACGAGTTCCTCCCATACCCCATTCCATATGTCTGAGTTATTCAACAAGTCTGGTGACTCTGCCATGCCCGTACCCGTGACTGCCGGTCAATGCAATACTGGTAAGCTCAATATTCGGCCATATCTGTTTGCCTTGTACTACTTGAGAGCTGGCCCTGACCCTGCATTATCACCAATTTGCTGCATCGCTAGCATTCGCGACCCGTGTACAACTACTTCATTCTTCAATAATCTTATATACCTCACTAACTAGTTGGGCTTTTCGCCAAACTGAGTGATCGCTGCTCAGGAAAGAGACCTCTTGCTCAAAGCCATTGAGGCAATATACAAAGCCAAGGCAACGAACGACACCTGCTCCCGCTCATGTCGAGTCCGCTTTGCTGGCTTCCTAAAATAGTATCTGCAAAAGCTCGACCACATCATCCAATCCCGGGAGTCCTAGGACTGGACTGGACTGGACTGGACTGGAGGTCGATACATACACTATATGGAAAAGTATTTACTACGTCCACCAGCAAGTCAAATCCTATCCCATGATCCATTCTACTTCTGTCGAACCGTTGATTACCGACAGCTTCTCACCTGCTTGTTTAAATATTTCACGACAACGAACCTTGAGTCTCCGGACGTGTTGTGACCTGGCCTACAGCCTTTATCAAAGCCATATGTTCTGACCTGGCCACCAGGGAGCAAGAATTGGGGCGCTAAAATAAACTGGTCTCGAGGCTGGCTAAGATATACTTAAGCTTGCCCAAGTCTTTTCATCACTTGCATCAGGAAAAAACCCTCCCCTTGCTCGGTCGCACCAATCGCAGCCTTCCACGCTAAGATACCCAGGCATCTCCTCTTGTCCAGGGACCACGCACTTCACACTTCTTCCCCAACCGCGACGACTGCTCCACCCCAGCAAAGCATTCGTACCTTAGCGCACCACTCGAGCGCACTATCATAGCGCACCACCTCAGCCACGGCCGGGCTTGGTGTCTGTCTCCTCAAGCTCTTATACCCAACTTACGCATCATCTCCAGCTCTTTCGCTGTGGAGAGTTGAACCGACCGAACCCAGCTCTGGCAATACGGCGACAGAGTATTGGTTCGGTGGATGGCGTACAAGTCAGACTTCGTTCTGTTTTCCTCACTCTACCGACAAGCCTCTCTCTTGGCTGGCTGGCTACCCGCTGTAACTATCAGGCTCGGTCCAGCGCCACCGTCAGGTTCCGCAGAGTTTCCAACCGCCCTTAAACTGCCACTCCGTTCCTCCCTGCACGGCCTCAAACGTCCGACATCAACGCAATCGCCTCAACCATCAACAGCGCATCGCTTCATCTCATCATGGCCTCACGAGGCCCCAATGAAGGGTCGCCCAAGCCAGAAGTTGGCGACACCTTGATTGTGATACGTATGTTAATACTCTGGCCTCGCGTTCTTTGTCTATAGTATCCTCTGATACTGATTTCGTTTCCCAACCCTGCAGATGATTTCCAGGCTCGAAGCTCCGATGAACTCAGTCTTGCGAAGGGAGACCGAGTTGAACTTATAGAACGAGACGACGAGTTTGGTGATGGATGGTTCCTTGGCCGTCATCTGGTCAACAATAATAATGGACTCTTTCCTGAAGGTTGGTTAAAACGTTGTTCTACAGCCCACGGCGAGAACATTGATTGACACTTGGCAGTTTACACTAGGCCAGCCCCAAGAAATATCCCCACAAGCACTTTCAGTGCTTCGAAGGCCCAGACTGCTCAGCAAGAACAGGCTCAGGACTCGAGCGCTGATACAGGTACCAAAGAAGAGAACGAGTTGCAACAACCACAAACTAGGAACCCTGTGACATTACCTCTCAATAACGTCAAATCCGAACCCTCACTGGTGTCGAGCGAGCCGCCTGTGTTGCCCGCCTTGAGCCAACTAACGACTCAGAATCAGGACAGCCCTGTCTTGCATGAAACGCTCACTGTTATTGACGAGCACATTACCGATTTACGATCACCAGCGAGCAATGGCGGACTCCGAGCGATAGCGAACGACTCTGGAAGCGAATATAGCAGCACCCATCCCGACCAACGAACATCATACATACAAGGTGAAGAGACTGACGAAGAAGAGGAGGGTTTCCATACGCGAGACGAAGTCGAATCGTGGTCTCCCGATGACGTTGCCGAATATCTCTTTACGTCGGGAGTCGAAAAGCACCACTGCGAGGTCTTTAGGGACCAAGAGATATCCGGTGAGGTTATCCTTGGTATGGATCAGAGCTCACTGTTCATCAAGGCATTCGATCTTGGGTCTGTCGGCCGGCGCCTCAAGACTTGGCACAAAATTAAGGCACTTCAGGATGAAGTGAGTAACCAAGGCCTGGAGACACGGCGTACAACACAAACCTTTGGAAACGATGGTTCAGAAGAAGGCCGTAGATCTCGGAGCCGAGCAAACACCCTGACCAATCGGCCCACTTCTATTCAGACGAGGCGACTCTCTTTATCACAGAATACGCCAAAGGCATCTCCGACATTTGGAGGATCTCATGCGCAAGAGAGCTCTAACCGCGCTAGTCATATCAAGCGGCCATCCGCGGCGTCGATCAGGGAATTGAACCATTCGCGTCGACACTCTTCGTCGACTGACTTTCGCCAAGCTGGCCCTCCGACGGCAAGCCCAGCCGTTCCCGTTCCTAGGATCGCGACATCGGGTACTTTCCCCGGAAGCGAGACTGCCCATAAAAAGCAACCATCATTTGACAGAAATTGGACCCTAGGCAACGCTTATTCGCAACCCCCCCAGCGACCCCTTTCTTCAACTGGCCTTCAGGATCTACTTAGCCCATCGGGAGCAGAAGCACAGGATTCTAGCGTCGACGCTGATCGGGGTTACTTCTCCGGAACAGAAGTGGATGGGAGGAAGAGAAACTTGTTGCGAAAGCGCGACAGCAATGCTGAATCGAGAAAGTCAAGCTATGCCGAAGAGCAAAGGGTTAGAAGCGCCACAGCTATGGCACGACAGTCAAGATTCGGTAGCGTGGGGTCTATTGCGGAAGGGGGTATCTCGTCAGCAGCTCAAAAGTACTACGGTATTCAGTCTGGCGCTCATAGGAGAACTGCGTCAGCCGCTTCGGAATCAACGATGAACATGCCACCACCCAATGACGTTCCTTCACCCACCGTCACCAAACTGGACACTTCGGTCAGTTCCGCTCGCTCAACCGCCTCACCTATGACATCGAGACATCAAGGTTTCAACTCGGACTGGCTGTCGTCAATGGTCAACAAACCCATTGCCCTGGCTGGAGGAAAGGGTATGCGGGCCATATCTGATAACCTTAGCCTTGACCGATCGAAGGCGTCAACTCCAACGGACTCATCGAACAAAGATTTCTTGGTCGACTCACCTGCGCGAACCGGCTCGACAACTCCATCAGGCGGAGCAAGCTTCGATCTTGAGTCGCCCGACACTGCCAAGAGTCCTAGTACTCCCTTAACCCAGCTCAACAAGAAGGCTGGGAAGAAGGGCAAGAAGGAAACGAGCGCATACACCCGCGGGCTGCTCAAAATCTCGCCAAAGGAAGCAAGCAAAGATGCCGATTATAGTGGCTGGATGAGGAAGAAGAGTTCCAACCTCATGACAACCTGGAAGCCTCGTTTCTTTGTTCTCAAGGGCCGGCGGCTTGCTTATTATTACTCAGAAGATGACGACCAGGAAAAGGGACTCATCGATATCTCGTTTCACCGAGTTCTACCAGCAGACAATGAAAAGCTCACAGGTCTTCATGCTACGATCACAAGCCTTGGGGGTCAGTCGATGCCTGCGTCCCAGAATGGCGATGATAACTTGGAGAAGGGAGATGACTCTATCTTCATCTTCAAGCTGGTTCCTCCCCGAGCTGGTCTCTCCAGGGCTGTGAACTTCACAAAGCCAACCGTTCACTACTTCGCTGTTCCCAACCTAAAGCAAGGTCGTCTATGGATGGCGGCCTTGATGAAGGCGACAATTGATCGAGATGATTCAAAACCCATCACTACGACGTACCAGCAAAAGACAATTTCTCTTTCTAAAGCCAAGCAGATGCGTCATCGCCCACCGGCTCTGATGAACCTCGACGAAGGGGCCGAAGAGGACGCTAGCACGGCCCGAAAGGAAGCCAACGGCCTGGGAATTTCATACGACGAGGCCGACAGCGGTGTTTCTGGCGTCGACAAACTCGCGGGCCAAAAGGTTGAAGAAACCAAGTCAAACCTAGAGTCTGAGAAAGAGCAAGAGAACCTACAGACAGCTTGATCGATGCCATACACACGGCATTACTTCTAAATTTCTTTCTAATCGGTGTGAGGCGTATCTGACCTTTCCCTAACAAAACTTCTCTTACACATTTTCCCACACCCCCTTCTCATATAGAAGCTTAATCCTTTTCTTTGCTTTTCTTTTCTTTTTACTTGATACCTCGGGCGCAGGGGGGAACTGGAAATCTCAGTAAGATATGGTGATGAAACAAACAGACGTGGATGGAATGCAATGCAATGGAAAGTGGAGGATAATCTCAGCTCATCCCTTTGGTAGTGGATATGCACGGGCTGGGACTGGCGAACAAGAACGAACAAGAATGTCATGTTACAAGAGACAATGATGATGAGGACGGCTTTTGTTACTGGCATTTTTACAAACATGAAAGTCTTGAGGATGATTTGCTGAGCTGGAGAAAATGAGCGTCCCTCTGGACGGCGTACGTGCTGGTAGCTTGAAATCCTGTTTTTCTCGTGGTCGTAATGTGTACGAAGATCTTTATGTTTGAGTGACACAAACCTATTGCAATCGAGAGCACCCTGGGGTGGATGGAGAATTTCTGCTGAGCAGAGAACACGGATTGAGCTGAGGGCGTACAATTAAGCTGTGAAGTTCACGTAGTCTCACGCAGATAGACTGAATGCAAAAAAAAAGTTTATGAAATATCGAATTGGAAGACGATCGCTTGCTCTAGAGGTATATGAGACAAGAGAAGAAAGGGGCATCAATGGCCCCAACAAGAAACTCCATGTACCTTTTTGGATCAAGCTTCTTCGCTTGACATGTGACCCTATCATGAAAAGAATGCCCTAAAGCATAAAGGGTCCTTTGCTTTGGGACGTTAGAGCCTTAGTAAAATAAGTCCAGCGCCCCTGGGTCGTATCCGTCGTTAGACCATCCAAACGCCATGAAAAGGATTGTACCCTACTCTAGTATCCCACTACCTCTTTCTAACCTTCGCGGTATCCTTGAACTTGACTCTGGTCAATCCAGAGGTGGCACCTCAATGATGGTAACAGCAGCCACATCAAATCTCGATCTCAAACTTTCTGGTTCATACCCGTCAGAAGCTGCCGAATGGATTTCATGAGGTGCAGCTCGATCCCTTCGAAGTTTCCAACAGCCTCACCCTCACCAGGTGGTGGGACAATGCTAGCGTCTGCTATGCCGAGTACTCGGTCAATAGCCGACAACGTGACAGCCTCCGCTTTGGCCTCGCCAAGCTTTGGGTTGAGAGCTTTGACAGAGACATCCTTGAAGCCATTAATGGACGCGAGAACTTTGGCGTCAAAGAAAGGCATCGTCTCGGCAGCAGGGGGCGAGCCCAAAGAGGCGGGTCCAGGCGTGGGACTCTTTGATTTCATGTAGGCATCAACAACCTGGCGGATGCCTTTCATGCAAATCGTCTCCATTTTGTCGTTCTCGGTCGCATCTTTTTTAAGGCCGATGCAGCGGTTGAGTGCTGACATGACAATCCCTTCGGCTTTGGGGTTACGAGCCTTCTTAAGGTTTTCGATCAGGCCACTCTTCAGCTTGACAACCGCAGCGAGGAGCTTGGGCTCGATGGCATAGCGGGCTGTGGGAGACGCTGCTGAAACCGACGGGGTGCGGTTCACAGGAGTGGCAGGCTGTTGTTGCGCCTGTGGCGGTCCTGTTCCAGGCACAGTCTTCGCGGCAGCAGTCAGAGGCACTGAGGGGTGGGGGTGGTGCTGCTGCTGCTGCGCAAGCGGTGCGCCAGCAGGAACGGCTGCAGCATTGGCGTGCCCTTCCTCGCTCTTGATCGGTGTGTTTGCTGGTGGTGGTGGCCGTGGTGCGTATGGGGAACTATAAGCACCCTGCGGGGGCACCCCAAGCTGTGGGCGCAGAGGGGCTGGCGGAGGTCCGTAACCTGGTGGTAGCTGTGCTGGCGCTGGCGGTTGTGATGCCACCGCTACTGGAGCTGGTTGGCCAGGCGTTGGTGGTGATGCAGATGCACCAAATGGCTGCGCTGGCCGCCCCGGCTGCGTCTGCTGTGCCGCGTATGCTGGCATATGATAACCAGGAGGTGCTTGGCCAGGGGGGTAGCCAGTAGCTCCAGGTGCCATATGCTGGGCATTGTAGGCATACGGAGCTGGATATTGGCCATACGCGTGTGTTGCTGCACGGTCTGGTGACGATGCCTTTCTCTTCTTACCAGCATCGAGTTCAACACCTGGAACACGAGACCAAAGGTTCGTAGTCTCATCTTTTCTGAAAGCCTCATTTCCAATAAGATTATGGCGCACACTGCTTTCCCAACCTTTCGTTTCTGTATGGAAGTAGAACCAGGGATATCTCTCACAAATGCGCTTGTAAATCTGTTTGAGCGTAAGACCGTCCGGTCCAGCCGCGGTAAGCGTTTCGTCGATAAGCACGCCATAGTTCTTGTTTGGCTTTTGGAGCTGTTCTTCTGTGTAGTCCTCGATTTTGAGCTCCAAGGGAGGGGATTTTGGTCGAGCTTTTTTCTCCTTCTTTTCTCTTGCTCGCCTCTCTGCATCTGAACCTTCAGCACCGTCCTCCCGAGGCTTGCGAGGTTTGTACTTGCGTTTTTCTGGTCTCCCCGAAGATCCCTCCGGTAAAGGATGTTTTCGGGGCCGTCCAACCTTACGTTTGATCGGCGGCTCTACTGGAGGTGCCTGTGGCAAGGTCTTCTTGGCAATCTCTTGCTGTTGCTTCTTCAGCAACCGCTGCTCCCGTTTTGACATATAGCCATTCTTGGGTGGCCTGCCAGGTCCCCTCTTTTTGGGTATTTGAGGCATCAAATGTCCTTGATGCGGGTCAAGCATGCCATCCTCCTTCAATCCGGAGTCTGCTCCAGCAATTGTCATGTCATCGATGTCCATGTCCATATCCATGTCCATGTCCATTTCTGCATCCATTTCACCATCTGCCTCCTCTTCCATATCAGCTTCAGCCTTGGCTTCCTTTTCTCGGACTGTCTCCACTGTTTGGATGGCTGCTGTCTCCTCAGCTTCTGCCTCAGCCTCAGCCTCAGCCTCATCTTCATCGCCGTCACCAAAGTCAGGAGACTCAGGTGGGCTGGCCACATCAGACAGTTCATCGCTCGTATCCTGGATTTCGCCGTTACCATGCGCAGACTCGAAGTCGAAACTCATCTCCTTTCCGCCTTGGGCGTGTCGCTTTTTGAGGGTCATGGCGGGTTCTTCCTCGATATCCTCCTCGGCACCCGTTCGGCCCCTCTCAACTCCATTTATGAGAAATCGGAAGTCGACGTCTTTTATTTGCAATCGATCGCCGCATCGCAGGACGAGCTTTTCACGATTGTAGTGCACATCCTCACAGAAGAACCCATTCTTATGAAGAGGTATAGCTTCGAAGACACCCATGTCTTGATTGTATGCGATCTTCAAATGCTCCCGGGAAATAGCTTTCGTCTTGGAGGCAATGTTTGGACCTGGTGAGTGAATGCCAATAAACGGAACATGGTAAGGCGAGGGACGCAGAGAGCCCAGATCAACTGCTGCAGCGCCAGGCGTATGAGAAACATATTGTCGGTTAGAAATCATATTTTCCTGAGCTTGTGCTGCTGCTTCATCCAAGTCGTGCTGTGATGACCCCTGTGTACTCGTCTTACGCCTTTTTGTAGGTCGGGGGTTTTCCCCAGTATCTGATTCGGGACCCAGCATACCTCCCTCTTCACTGACATAGGATTTGCTGAACTTGCTTCGATCTGGGTGTATCGGGGAAGGTGGTGGGAGGCCTAGGTGTACGTTCTCTTCAGTACGTCGCCTATACTCTTCGGCGCGTCTTTCGTCACGGCGTGCCTGCTCCAGTGCACGCTGATCTCGTCCAATTATGACAGCATAGGTGGTCATCTGAAATACGCTGTCGGCAAATTCAATACGTGCAAAGGATTCAAGAGCCTTGTGAGAATCTGATTGGCGCGCCGAATTTGTCGGGGCAATGCCTTGGAAAGACTCGTCTAACGGGTTAGGCAAAGTGACTTGAGCTGGAGTGACTGTGGGAGGTGGTGACATGGCTGTGGCTGCCCCTGACATTGTGGCCAGTGCCATCATCATGTAAGCGTGCTGGTTGATGGTAGGCATCGATGTTGCAGCATAAGGAGTCGAAGGCGCAAACTGCTCTCCCAAGTTGTCGGCCTGCATCTGTAGCTGCAAGGGTGTAGATTGTTGAGCTTGATCAACATTTAATGTTACAGCCGCATCGCGAGGGGTTGAAGCGTCAAGCATGGTGCGATCACCAGAGTTAGCAATCACATGGACTGAGACCGCGGTGCTCGATGGCATCTCTGGCTGTTGCTGTGATGTTGATTTGGTAGCACTAGCAGCTGTAGGAGGAGCGCTCGGAACGCCGTGAGTCGAGGGTGGCGTAGATGGTGAAGGTCGAGAGTCTGACACTTTCGCTGGGGCAGACGATGCTGATTCTTGGTTAGGGGTTGCGGCCTTTGGTGCAAGAGCAGCCGAAGGTTCTTCGGGCGATGGATTTAATGCGACTATTGGAGGAGGAGCAGATGCAGTTGGGACGATTGCTGTCGAGGGAGGCGCGGGAGTGGATGTGGAAGTTGAGTTTGAAGGGTTGGCAGTCTTGGCCATAGTCGAAGAGCAAGAAACCCCAGCAGAGTTTCCGTTTGAATTTGGGCTTGAAGTTTCAATTGGGGCAGAAGTAGAAGCAGAAGGCGTTGGGAGTTTGGCCGGTGCCGAGTCAGCAACTTTTGAGTCGCGGTTTTCGTCGTTGCTCGTCGGTGAATGCGAAGTCGCGTTTATCTTTGTCGCAGATGGAGTGGGAGTCACATTTGATGGCGTCGCAGCTGGTGAAGACGCAGCTTGTGGCTGTGGCTTTGTTCTTGTTTCTGCTTCTGTTGATGTCGTCGTCACGGTCCTGGATGCGACAGCCTGGGCATCTCTGTCGGCACCCAGGCTGTTCTGCAGGCCATTCAGGCCAGCAATGGACGAAGTCATCGCTGCTCGTGCGACCAGCTCCTTCGTCACTTCGCCCTCACCTCAGGGTGTAATCCAGAAGGTATCGCCGTTGGCTGGAGACGGGTAAAATAAAACCTAAGGTTCAAGCGGGCGAGGCTTTCTGGGTCCTTTGAGCCGCGATAACTGAGATGGTCCGGGCGGGCAAGGCTGCACGTTTTGATAGGTCAGCTGAGGGGCTTCCTTCCTTCACGTACCCCGAGTCTCCTCTTACTTGCTACCTGAGCCTGAGATTGGCGGTTGACCGCGATGTTTTGCGCCGCTAGTACGCTTTGGGCAATCAGGAAGTCGCAATCACGAATATGACCTTGTTGGGTTGGTTGCACTTTCCCAGGCATTTACTTGTATGAAAGATTGAAGGCACCAGTTTCGATATTGTTCCAATAAGAGGCAGGTAGAGAAAATACATTAAAACTCTTTGTGAGGTAGATGACTCTGATAAGCAAGTGTGACCTCGGGCAAAAACCTTACTGCGTCTTCTCTTGAGTGAGGGAGGTACACATGTATGGTGCTACGTGAGTTCTTTCCCCGCGTTTGAGTTGTAGGTTTATTCCTTATTGTTCACGGACCAAAATAGAAATCTCTTGGAACAATATAATGCTTCAACTTTCATACCTGAGATCAACAAAAGCCGACCTTATTCATTCCATTTGCCGAATTCTCAATAACATAAAAAATGCCTATACAATCTTCAATGTCACTCAAATCCAGCCCCACTTTGTGTCCTTATGAGTGGCTTGTGTTGTATCATACAGTTCCTGACTTTGCGTTCTGGAGGCTCTCATTCTTGCATGTAACAATTTCGTTAGTAGTGCATTCCTTTACGTTTTCCCCTACTTTTTGCAACCAGCCTACCCTGTTGCTCGATGTGTAAATGAAGCTATCTGAATATAAGCATTTCGATGAGCATTATGAAATTTCTATTCCGAATCAAATCGGAGTCCTTAAACCTGTTCAATTGATCGGTCAAGCGTGGTCCCTTTGCTTAGAAGTACGTATCAGCATTTGGAAATGACAACCCAACGACTTACATTCAGAAACAACTAGGGTATACATGTTGTATTCTATACTCACTCTTTGTAACGCATGACTAGGTAGTATATTGAGAAGCCTATCGAGGCTCACGCTTCCACAAAATATCCAGGGCAAAGCTTATCATCAGCACCCGAAGCCGATGCCCTACTGTCTGAGAAGGAACAAAACGCCACGCGAAATGCGTGTTCATAAGGTCTTTGTAGTATAAAACAAAAGAGCCAAAATTCAGTGAAGCAGGGCCTCATGCTCGGTCGAAAATGCGCGGTGCGAGTATCGCTTTGTCAGTCGTTCCGAAAGACGATACGCTCCATGGCAGAGCATGCCGGCAAAGAACCCCACAGCATCGTTCCTGAAAGCGAGGATTCCAGCAGTGGTCACGAGCATGACAGTCCATCTCTCCAGACGTTCATCATCTGAAAGATCGCGTTGTCGACGAGGACCATGACCTGCAGCCGTGTTCCATAAGTCGGAGGCTCCTTGGTTGAGACTGTTGCCCACTTTGGCGAGCTCGAGACCAGCTGCTATCACCATGATGCCAAGAAGACTCTTGGGGTAGTGCTTCAAGAGATCTACGAGAGTTTCGCCAAACATAAGCCCCAGTACCAGCTTAAAAGCTCCCAGTACCATGATGCTGGAGCCGCTTCGAGCCCCGAAGCGATATTGGGCGGCTAATCCCCCGGCACCATGGCAGACAGGCATACTTCCGAACCAGGTGCTGCTCAAGTTCATCAGCGCAACGCTGATTCCGATGGATGTCACCGAGGGAGTGGGGAGTTCGGGTAGAAGATCCTGGGATAGTGCACTAACGGCGATGATAGAATTGAGTGTGGTCAGAGGCAGTTGTCCGATGGCCATCCACAGGGCAGGCGAATCACCCTTTCCGACCCAGTGCGGCATGACAAAGCGAGGGTGCCAAACATAAAGCCACGGAAGGCTCTCGTGAGAAATAGCGACCTGTACAAAGGCGAATAAGAGGGCGAGTATAAAGAAGATCAAAGCATAGGGGAACCGGGACAGCTTTTGTGTGCCAATTAGAACGAGGAAGGCGATCAAAGCCCACACACGGTTGTCAAGAGCTGGACGGCCCCAGTGCAGAGGCTGAAGCAGAGAAGATCCGGCGCCAAGAATCAACGAGAGGCCTGCTCCCAACTGAATACCCTTTACTACTGGGAGGGGTACGACACGGACAACCCCCTTCAAAACACCTGTAACACTCATGATGAGTACGGCAGCGCCAACCCATTGGCCTGCAGCCGTGACGACACCCATGGGAGAGCCATTTTGTATGGCTGCTGAGGCAATAGCCTATGCAGTAACCATGAGGTAAGCTTTGATGTAATTTGACACGAATATGTTGCTCGGATACTCACCTTCATGGGTTGGACAGGTAAAGGAATACCATAGAACACGCCAGTGAGGATGTTGAACAAGCCTGTGAACACTAGTGTACTTCCCAGATCGATTGATCCTTGTGCGGCCAAGGCAATCATCAGAGGCAGCAAGGTGCCAAGATCGCCCAGTGACCCCGATATTTCAGCCCATGGCGCGGTCCGTAGAGTCGTCAAGTTGTTGCGGTTTAGACGCCGTAAATCATTTGCCCACGGCGGTGCCATCTCACGTGCGTTCGACTGTTGTTATGGAGAATACACGCGCTTCTATTCGTAAGTAGTACTGACTTGGCGCTTGGCTCTCGCTATTCAATCTTGAACTTGCGATCAGATAGACCAGGGTAGTGGTAGGTGTCGGGTACCTTAGTAGATAGGTTGGCTGTCTAGTGGGTAGGTATCCCAAGGTCTCGGCCTAAGGTATGCGTAGGTAGTATTGGGTGCTTACAGGAATAGAATGGTTAGGACGAGTTAGTGACAGGCTGGCGAGCAAGGCCCGATCAAGAATGACGACGATCTAAGTTGAGAAGGTATGTTCGAGTCGCCCCGATAATTCTGGACTACCTAGACTACTTGCTAAAAGAGAGGATCGAAAGAATTAGCAAGGGAAAATGGCGCAGTGAGGAGTGTTCTTATGAGAGGATCAACATCGCCGAATCCGCTGTATCCCTTCTACGGCTCTTATCAAGGATGTCAGACACGTGTGGGACAAGGCCAAGTGATCAAGATGTTGCATCTCCTAGTCTAGGTTCTATCGTGGTCAGCTGTTAGTCCTGTATTACTATTGATTAACCTATAATAATACAGCGATATGTCCTCCAAATAGCATACTCACTACCCTATACTGATCTGTTGATGGGAGACTTTATCAAAACCTAGTCTAGGTGATCTCGCATAACACTGTGTGCGCTGATTACCAGTCTCGGGCGATTCAATGTAGTATAAAGGAAAGGTCACTGCTTACTGTGTCTGACAGAAAACCAAAGTTTCATAATAACTTATTTCTATATAGGAATTGTCAAAAGCTGGGCGTATCAGAAAATCAACATGCCTGCGCTACAAATAGCGTCAAAACGAACATTCAAGATTTGTCTCGTCATCAAGATTCGCTACCATCTATCTAGCGTCACCCACAGAAATCAACAAGCAAATCAACACAAGGACCACTAATCTACAGGTTTATCATGGTTTGCTAGGCAGAGAACAACCACATGCGCGTGAATTTCCGGTGCTCGATGTTAGTCAACCCCAGAGCAAAGTAAGTGTTGATCATCCAGTGGAAACACTGACCGCTCCCAAAATGATACATAGGGACCTCAACGGCGCCTGACACCACCTATAGAGCTACCTTATAGGAAGCAAGGAAACTTGTCCGAGACTTTATAAGTGAATGCTAGGTTAATAAACCCAGCAGAGAGCCCCCAAGCTTGAACTAGAGTTGCTTAAATATTTTAATCGCCTAAGATAGAGGTCCTAAGTTTTCTAAACCCCCCCTAGAGCCATTAACCCATTCGATGTTGCTAGGTGCGAAGTCTCAGAGTTGGGTTCCATGGTGACGATACTCTGTAGGTATACCACTAATTACGCACCCTATACTTCCGCGGATTCGTTCCTAGCTTAGGCCATATGCAGGGTCGGTACATATTTCGCAATATTATCGCTTCTGGAAGGCTAGAAGGCATATCGAACCCCCAGACCACCCTGACCGCATCTATGTTTCTTCAAAACTCAATATCTTCATTTCCCTAGGCGGTTGCTAGCCAAGCTCGGCCCCGGCTGCTGGGACGCCTCAATGTACGGAGTATGTGTGTATGTTTTGGTCTGCTTATCCGGCCACAGCTGTATTCACACAACAGTAATAGCAAAACCTCGCCAGGCTAGTAAGGATTTCCAGTTCGACCCAGGAAGGCGAGTCGTTGCCGTAGAAAAGCATGATAGGTATTTCGAAAAGCGCTCTCCTTCAAGTCTACGCACTAATGGCCTATGACCTCATCACACTACCAACGCAAGCGGTTGTCGCGCTGGGGTGCACTCCTCCCGGTGATAGCGAGGTGTCCCGGCTAGGGTAGGAAAGAAAACTCAGGACTTCAACCATAAGTGATGAAAATATTAGGTAAGTTTAGCCTAAGCTTAGGGGACTATTTGCGAGGTTTATTTTGACACCCTATATCAAGGTCCGTTGTTTTCTTGCCCCCTGAGGCCCGGCCACAAGTCGGCAGCTAGGGCGCGAGACCGTGTAGACATAGCCGCTTTATCCCTCGTCCCCGGGACTTCCAGCCGGGATTTCGATTGAGCTCCGGGTCTGGAATTCTGACCTCTAAATTCAACGAGCACCAGCTGACAATCCTGCCTTTGAATAAACCATATCGGACATGGAAAAGAGAACTGATGAGATGTCCGTCAAGAGAGTTTCGAGGCTTGCCGTGGCACCTATCCGTATGTTTTCAGTGGTCAGCTATGGGATATCGACTCTCCACTTTCCACGCCAAGCCGGCAGCCCAGGGCTCTCTCATGATGCTGGTAGACCCCCATGCCATGCAGCAGCAAACACATGTTGTGTTATTCAGAGTCATTAAAAGTCAACAGGATGAGACTTTGTTTGAGGATGGCGACAATGTTGATCGTGGGCCCTGGTGCTAATAACCTCTTTCGTCTCAAAGTCTTCTCCGATACTTTGATTATTGGATGACCGTCGCTCGCAAGTTCGTAGATTGCGCCGGAAACAAAGGATGCATGCTTCTTCCCGGCATTGAAACTGGGTCGATAAGGCTTGATTTCAGACTCGGTTGCTGGATCCTTGCATGTCAGGTCAAGCAAAGCTTTAGCTTGCACAGTGTCGCATGCAATTGTGGAGATTCGGGGAAAAGATGTGGGGAGCTGGTTTTTGGAGGATCTTCCCTTCGGATGGAACCTAGCAGGCCCAGGTAACAAGGTGACAATGAGAGTGAATGAGAAGTCCTTGTAGAGCGGCGGCGTGCCCGAGGCTGCCATCCGTTCGGGAGACTGCGGTAAGAGAATGTTTCTCGCGATATGATCACCTGAAGCAACAAAGCCTGAAGCACATTCTCAGGGCAATAGGTGCATATTTGGATGCTTGACGATGGCTCATGCAATAGGTATTATGAAGACAACAGCCTGCGCTAAGCTTTTGCGCATTTGTTTGATTGGTCCCTCAAGAGCTGCCGAGACACAGGTGTTGATCAAGTTGGCAAGGCCTCATCTCCCATAACTCATGTAATTAAACAGAGGCTGCAAAAAAGAAAAACAACAACGTAGAAGCGCAAACCGATACTTTACGAGAACCGACCAGGGACTGGCACGAGGCTGGATACTGTATTTGTCGTCATTTCGCCGTTCGGAGACTTCGCGCAATCTCTTGTGCATGATATCCATCGTGCTACCAGAGATGGGCTTGTTGTGGTAGATGGAGGCGGTACCCGTTTAAATCGATTCCGTTACAGCCGAAGGGACGGACTTGACAGCCTTCCATGGGCAATTGCCTGCCTACCTATATTGGAGAAGTACGGAGTAAATTCGCGCAAGTTCTTGCTGTAAAAGCAGCACTGTACCGTGTGTACGGAGTAGACTGTGATATTCAAGACCTCGAGCTTTGCTTGTTGCAGGCATTTTGGCTTCCTCCCTCGTGGGCCGTGGAACCCATTAATGGATGGATGCAAGTGGTATAGAGCCTCGACCCCACATGGGCGATTGACAATCTCACCGCACCGTTTCTTCAGTTGCCGTGTTCCGAGTTGCGCATTGGTCAAGGCGAGCTGTTTACTTGTTGGTGTGTTCCAGCAATTTTTCCCTCTCTTTTCCCGCGGCAATGTTGAGCAGTATGTAGATATGTACAGACTCATCGTGTATCTCCGCTCGTACCTTGCACCGGGACTAGCGTCGCTGTACGTATGGGCGGCCCGTTCGTGGAGAGCGGAATTGACCAAGCATTGAGTGATACGAGTATCGGGTCTTTGTAATCTGGTGACATGGAGGCTACCTCGGAATGAGGTATGTATGGGTTGCGTCGATTCAGATAGAAAGTCAATTGAGTGAGCGATTATTGATTGCTATGAATGATAGGTACCTAGGTAGCCATTCATCAATTAGATATCAGAGCTGTAACAGAGAAAGAGGTGCCTGGAATATCCCTCGTTGTAAGTTGGGGAGTTGCTACTTCAGCTCCGTGACCTGGCCCTTGCCATTGTCGTCTACCTACACCTTACACTTGCGTCGTCATAGGTGTACCTACTCCGTACTTACCTCACCTTTTCTCACCATCAGCGAAGCTTCCCAAAGACAGATTGAAATATCTCGTCTTTCATCTGCTAATCTTCTCTTGTCCACCCCAGCATCGTCCTAGGCACAACCAATACTCCTTTTCGGACCTCAAAAACTCCCTTCTTTCGGCCACTCAGACACACCCATATCAGCAAATTCCAATCGATCTACATCCTTGCCAGTGACAATTGCTCTGTTTTTGTTTTGTTCCTAGCAGACCAAGCCTGCCGTTTTTGTAAGTCCCACCTTGTACATAACGCAGCCCCAGTCTGGTTTTCACTCCCCCTGGTCTTTGGATTGGAGTAGGTATTATGTATTATCACCACCTCCATGGAAATCCACCTCATCCGGGGCACTCGGGGTTGCGCCAAATCCTGTATGTACTTGGACTTTGGTAGCATTGTACAGTGCACAAAAAGCCTCAGAGTCTCGAGATAGGACAGGTACCTGATGGGCATCACCTGGCGCCTCCTCGAAGCCTGGCTTCCGTCGCACCACACCTCATTGCTCCCCTCGATGAAGATGCTCACACCCCTGGGGGCTTGTATCCACTAACACCATGGACCTAAGCAACCACTGAAAGAGACCCTGCTCGCTCGCCTTGACCTCTCTTAGCTGGTGTTGCCCGGGATCTGGACCCATTTTACGTACAGAATCCCTTTCCCTCGTTTGGGACAAAGTCTGATTTCTCGCGGGTCGTGACGCTGCTTTCTCCACTTTTCACAGCTCTTGGGTGACTTTTGGTGTCAGATAGTGATCAACAAAACCACAGAAGAGCCCGCCTTCGCGACCAGATTCATTTGCTGCTTCTTCATCACCCTTCAAGATCGCAAAGGTAGGTCAATTCCTTACTCACAGTCACGCTGCTCTACTTTCGCTCTTCTCGTCCGCCTCCGGGCCCATTGTACGCTCGACAGTCAAGCCAATTCCTGTGTAATGGCCGTCTACTCAGTCCTGGAGTCATGCATGTCGTCGCAATCCTAGCGCAAATGCCGGCGTCAGTGTCCTCAGTGACATTTGCCAAGAATTCCATCAGAACATTTCCTGGATGAATCGCTCTGGACTCGCTCCTATGCAGCTCAATTGAACATCATCGCCGCCATCACCCCTTTGCATTGGTGCGACATTGTCCCTCAGTGGAAGAGGACGAGAATTTGCGAAAGCGTGGGCTGTCTTGTCTGCCTATGGCCACTTTATCGCGGCGCGGAGCCAAGGAAAACTCGGTTGCTAACATGTCTTCCCTAGCAATCTCTCCACTCCAGACACAATGGCCGCCATCAAGTCTCTCATGACCCGCGACGAGGTCGTCCACCAGCTTGTCAAGCGTAAAAACTGGGCCGCCAGGGAGCCTGGTGTTATTGTCGTCTTCTGCATTGTTGGTGTTGGTATGTCATGTCTTTTACCTACGATGTCTGATAACAATGCTAAATTTCTCGATAGTCGCTATTGGCCTTCTCAGCCTCTTCCTCTACAGGAAGGCCATTGCTCGCAAGGCCAACAAGGCCTCTACCGTCTAAGCCGTTTGATGCGGATGAGGCCGGCGTTAAGGAGAGTGGAGTGTGACCTGAGGCATAGTCATGAGCGTCTTTGGACTATGAGCCTCAGGTAGACGTGGTGTTACGACGAGGTGCCTTCTGCGACACACCGGGTGACCGACTGTGACCCCGTATTCCAGTTAACTGTTGCCGGTTACGTCCCTCACCAATTCCTCGCTTGTCAACTGCCAACGCAATCTGTTACGGATAGCAGAGTTGACTGGCAAAACTTTTGTACATACCTACATTCCACCGGATCACGTGGGACAAATGTGCTGGAGGGCGGGTTCCCGTCGAGTGTTCGCTGCAAGGTGGCTGTATTCTATCTTCTAATGCTACTGATACCTACTCGTTTGAAGCAATCAACAATAATCATCTACTCGAAATCTAGTTCCACAAACAATTTCCAGCCTTGTGAAACCCCTAATCTGAAGTGGCGCCTACTCATTTCATGTCTGTTATGACAGTTACTTTTCCATGTTTATCCCATCTCTTAGATATCAGGAATGCGGATCGTAGAATACTCATGCGTGCCATGATGCAGACCAGAAGATACCGTATCAGTAACCTTCTTTAGCTAGCATGTCTGCTATGTCAAGATAGAATGCAATAGCATTGAAATTCTTCTTGATCCCCATCCACTCCCGGACTGTCCAGCCAACACGATTGGACCAGTTTATCAGATCCAAGTGGCTCACTCCAAGGAGCGTGCCTTTGTATGTGCCCCAGTGGCTGCTCTCCACACTGACAAGTCCATCGTTGGGTCCCTCGGCCTGTGTCATAACGGCGTGCGGGTGCCGAAATGGACTCAGCAGGGCCGGCCGCTCTACTGCCGCTCCGTACGAAAAGTACCGCACGTCTGGTTGATCCGGCGTGCTCGGATTGAACTCTTCAGCCATGTAGCGTCTCGTCAACTGCGAGAACGCTGCTGTACCGAGACCAGCTTTTTCAAATGTCTGATAAAGTTGAGGCAAGTAATGGTGCAGTGGTGAGACTTCTTCATCAAGGAGGTAGTCTGCAAATGCGCTTCCTCGGTGCGGCGTTGCAACGGTAACCACAGCCGCAACGCGGACTGGGAGCGGAGCGAGGTGCGAAAGCATATATCGGGCATCAAGACCACCCATGCTGTGTGCGACAATTGTGACGGCTTCGGGCATTGGAGCGTGGGCTTCAAGGGCGGAGCGGAGAGCAGTAGCGCGATCGGCAATAGAGGATGATGGAGGCACAGTAGGCGTCAGGACTGTGGCGCCTTGCGCAGTGAGGGCATCGCGAATGCCATGCCAGTATTCGACAGCTGGAAAGTATGGAGAGAGACGGAGCTCAGCGAAGCCAAAGAGGCCGTGGGCGAGGACGATGGGATACTTTGGAGTCTCTATCGCCAAAAGTATTAGCAAGACAACTTCACACGCGGGATTAGATGCGGTACCGTATTTTTCTCTTATTATCGCATAGTCGTCAGATATTTCCCGGCCCAGGGCCTTTATCCTCGGATCATGCTCACGTGCAAGGTAAGTGCTGCAAGTGAAGCTTCGATGGCATTGCGCGCCGTATAGTTGCCGAGATAGGGGTAAAGCAGGCGCGCTGCGCCATATTACCGATCTGTTCATGGATTGTTGAGTCGCATGGGCGCAATGTGATAGAAGTGTTGGTGTAGAGATCCAGTACCTAAGTCAAGTGGAACGAATGTCGTGAACTGGTGACGTCACGGCGCGAATACATGTGATATTTATTTTGTAGGTGGTATGGGTGGAATAGTTGCCTTTGCGCTCCGCGTTCTTCGAAAAATGTAGGATGAGTAACTCTTTATCTTGGAATTATTGGCTTATAGTTTAAATGTTACTGTAAATATTTCCAAATATCATAAAAAGCCTTCATAATATATAATCTCTGGGTGTATGGAAATGATCTTGCCTTTACTGCAACTGATTCTTTAAAGTCAAAGTAAATGTTTCGTAAATTGAGCTGAAAATGTTCTAATTAGGTAGGTATTTGGTATCTATGCCTCTATTACTAACAATGGGATTCTAGATCCACGATAACCTCAAACTATGCATGACAATAAGGTGGTATTGGAGTTACATCCAAGCCTGGGTCTGGGATGTACATGTGCCAGTACTTAACCAAGAACTCCTCTTAGAACAGCACATGAAAGGCACTATGAAAGTACGAACTCAACAACCTGTCGTCATTACAATCAAATGAAGAATTAATGGCACCATGATCGAGCCAGTATCGGACTGAACCCCTCACTCCCTTTCTCAGTCCTAACAAAATTCTCAACACCCGGAATTGTCGTTATCATCAGCACATTAAAGTATTTATCCAGACAATTCATGCTTTGGATCCTTTCAACTCTTTTCAGGAGGTAACTGGCTTGGCGAATTCTCGTTCGTGACACCGCTGTAGGCTGGCCGTGCCTGCATGCCGTCGAAGGGACCAGCCAGGTTTTCCGCGATGGCTTCGTCATAGCTGGGCGGAGCTTCGTCATATGGAGGTGCCTCTTGACCCGGAGCTAGTTGTGGTGGATAGAGGGAATCATGAGTTGGCTGAGGAGGAACCTGGTTCGGAGTTTGAGAAGGCCGTTGCTGTTGAGCTGACACTGGGGCTGAGGAGACTGAGTTTTGCCTGGGTGGCAGACGGGGCGGGACGTTATTCGTGAAGGTTGCACGCCCCGGCCGCGTTGATCTTGCGGATTCAACGAGTTCAGGAGGCGGTGTAATACCAGAATAAACCTCGACTTGCGCAAAGTGTAGCGGTAGGAGGATGACCGGGGGGCTCTTGTTGGTGATGCCCTTTTTTGGCTTACCCCAGGCTAGACCAAGCTTCAACTCGAGCTCGTACCTTCTAGAAAGATTACAAGTGACGAATGAGGGTGCCACAGTGTTGGGAAGAGGCAAATTCTTCCATACATGGTCTGGAATCACCAACTCACTCCCAACTTCGTCAGCAGGTCCTGTAGTCAACGGGATGTTGATGTTTGGGTTTGACACAACAACCCATCGGTTGATCTTTTGGTTCTGAAGCTCGAGCGCGCGGACATCAGTACGGCCTATAAGCTCCATCTGGAACGACACTAGATAGACTTGCTCTGGATTGTTGTTGAGCTTTTTGGCGATAAGCCGTAGGGGAACAGGCTTGTTGCAAGTCAAGACGCTTGGGTGAGGAAGGCGTGCTGAGATCTCGATTGCTGGAGCTGGTGCAATATCTGCAGATGGCTCTGGAGTAGAGGCTGACTTTGAATCTGTGCCGCTTCCAAAGTTGAAGAGGGAGGACCGCTTCTTCTCTGCCTGAGGGGTCATTGGCCGAAATGTGAAGGGGCGACGAGCAAAAGCCTCCTGGGTTGTCGGCTTCGGCCGGGGCGGTTCAATAGGGAGGAACTTCAGACCGATCTGATACCGCCAGTTTTCCTTGAGCAATCCCGGTCTCTGGATTGTAACCTTGATGTAGTATCGAATTTCTGCCTCCATAGGATATCCTGTTAATGATGGAGGTAGTGTGCGGGTGACATGGCGAAGGTAGAGTTGCTTGCTACCATCCATGACCCTAACACCACCAATGCCAAACATTCCTCCACCCCCAAAACCACCAACGTTGGCCATGCCGCCGATTTTCGACATAGCCATTGGGTCGCTGCATGCATTATTGATGGGAAGCTTGAACTTGAAAGGAAACTCGTGCTCGCCTGCTTGCAGGGGGTATGCACCGTAAGGGTTAGAAGAGCTCGCATAATAGTCATCCGGAAAGACTTGTTGTAGTTTGTATAAGATTTTATGGTTCTCAGCTGCGGTGCTGCCAGGAGGCCGTTGAGGGCTAGGTTGTAGCCTGGCCATGTTCTGTGGATCAAAGGCATTCGGAGCCTGTAGAGCTGTTCCCGATTCCCCTTCAAGCTTGACAACAATACTTCCAATCTGCTCGGCGCGGTTGAGACCCAGGATGATTCGGCCCTGCACCAAGTCGAGGTTGGTATAGAACTCGGGCTGGTTGTCCAGCGCTATTCGAATAGACATGATGGGTGAGCGTCAGGAAAAGACTGACGCTGAGAGAATGAGAGGGCCCCTGTGTGACTTGAGTGCTGGATCTGAGATTGACTCGGACCTAACAGTCCAATAATGTTTGTCGTGAGCTGGAGTGAGTTGAGCGTGATATAGGTACTAAGCTAGAGATCTCTACCAGAGACTCTTGGTTTGAAGGAGCGTTTCACAATTTGGCGTATCCTCTCGAATAGCTCCACGATCTGTCAGTCTTGGATTATCTGCATAAAGGCAACTTGATCGATTCTCATTGACTCTTTCTTAAGCGGTTTGCACGGGAAACCTGGGTTTACTTAGTTGGATGTACGTCACCAAGGCTACTCAGCCTGAGCCAAGCCCCGCGATAGGCCTCACCGCACCTGACATGAAGGAGGGGTGACTGTGGCTAGGAGATTAATTAAGTACCTTACTGATAATGTGGCGCATGTGGCTTGGATGATCGGGTGCTTTAGTGCCGCTTCTCCGGAAAGCCATTTGTTACCATAGGTAGGTTAGGTAGGTACAAATCTGGCAACTCGAGATTGTGGCCCTTCAACCCAAATTCATGGAGGGCAATCTACCAAAAGTCCCTCAAGCAGGGGTACAAGTCGTCTCGTCTACCCAAGCTTTTCACGCGGTCACATCTCTGCTGTGCCGCGATGAGTTATAAGATGTTTGGTGGAGAAGGTTCGAAGATCAATTCCCTGGAGATTGGAAATGCTGGTATCATAGACAGGGCAGGGAGGGCAGAGAAGGGCTTGCAAGGCCCAAGCCAAGCACAAGGTGCTTTGCAATGCAGATAGATGCACAGGACGCATGAAGAGTGTTGGTGATGACAACTTTTCATGAGCGTCACCTGCTTGATCCAGCCTCGAAGCCTGTCGCAATCTCCACTATAACGTCCGACAAGATATCAACCAACAGAGTTCTTTGACACACTCCATCACATATCAACAACACAGAGGTGGATACAGACCGCAATTGGCACGATACTTTTGTCGGCATTGAGTCTGTCAGGGCAGGAAAGCCCGCGATCGACACCTCATAGCACTCACGGACCCTCTGCCGAGGTGTTTCAACGCCCACCCACAATTTGGCATGAGATGTGTGCTGCATCTCGAACCAACTGCATATCCAGGGTCCCGTCTGTCGACTTGGTGTTTGTCGTTCGAGTTCTCCCGAGGTCGACGAGGTAATAGTCTAGGTTTCCTTTTGAGTCAGGATCGGCATTGTTCACGCCGCGCTTCGCAACGCCAATTTACGAGCCCTGTACGGAGTATGTATGATGTGTCCCGGAACCACTCCGCGCTTCTGCAGCACCGCGAAGCTCTGGATCATGACATGACCCATCCACTTCCGAGTCACATACGTCGAGGTGCTTGCGACTTTATGGTAACTCCCGATCACCACTCGCGTTAGAAGAGCTCGCGGAATGGCACCATGCGGGCCGCTTGCCGCCCAAAGACCATCAACGCCCCATTTCGCGCTCGTCCACCAACCACGACAAAGCCTGGCCGCTTTCGTGGCCTTGTACCGCTCGCCCGCTGCGTCTGTGCCGTGCGGGCTGCCGCCGTTTCCCCGCCTCTATCCCTTCGTGATTGGCACACTTAGCCCGCCCCCCATCTTAGCCAGCGCAACGACAATGGAACAAGATTTGTCTCTTGCAGGCAGAGATTGCTATGTACATACATACATACATATTTATGATCCTGGGCTATACAACCCTGTCAGGCAGGCTCCGGATAAGTTACACCTTTTCTGTCCATGTCATGTTTTGAGTTGCATAGCCATTTCTGTGCAGTCGTCCTAGTCATGCCAACCCATCACAAACCTTGCAAAACCACTTTACGGATGCCATCCTGGCTTATGATTGCAAGGATCCAACAACCAACAACCAACAACCACATGCTCTTTGATGCTTCATGCCGTTGATGCCCTCCCTATTCACTCTGGCACTTTGCAAGGACTGGATACCATGTAACTTTGTGCTCCTCAACGTCGATCATGACCAAGCTTGATTGGCCGTGTTGGCTCTTACATCAATTATGGTTCGAGCTTAAGGCAGTTGTTCTTGTTCGCTATTGGGCCGCCCAAAGTGCCGTTTAGTAAAGGCTGAATACCCGTCTCACCCGTTGCGACCTTGTCTAGCTTGTCTTTACTGTTGCACTGCATCATGGCCCTCCCAACAGTGATCCCCCTCTCTGCAGCGCCCCATGAGTACAGAGCCTCACATGCAGGGCTCCGCCCAGACTAGGCAGATGGCAGATAGTAGAATTCTGATCAGTCTGTCTATATGTATGGGGGCCAAGCCATCCCGTCTTATTCTCCGAGTCCCCCTTTGCTTTTGACTTGGTTGTCAGCCTGCCATGATAATTTGCCAGCCTTTGTTGGTTGACACCCGACGATGGCAGGCGATTGTGGAACGACCTGTCCGGCCTCTGATGGCTTCTACTCATACAGCCCCAGTGTAGGGGGCAACGCTGTGTTGCTTGTTATCTTTGCTCTCCTTGCTCTGGCCGCCATCTACTTTGGTATCCGGTCCAAGACCTACCTCTTCTCCCTCGCACTCACCACCGGACTTTTTCTCGAAGTACTAGGATTCGTTGGCCGTATTCTGCTTCACTCGAAGCGAGATAGCCAGAGCCACTTCTTCCTCTTTTTATTCGGAACAGTCTTGGGGCCATCGCTGATTAGTGTTGCCATCTTCATAATCCTTCCTCACATCCTCGGCATCTATGGAGAGCCACTTTGTCCCTTTAGGCCACTTGTAGCTGGGCTTGTCTTTTGGGGACTCGCTGCAGTCACTGTGTTGTTCGAGCTTATCGGCATCGTCTTTACGGCATATGAATCAAATGGAGTCACAGTATGTTATCTCAACGATAGAAGCAAAATCATTATCACGATACTGACTTGAGCAGCGGAAACAAGGAGCAGCCATCACAGCTACAGGCTTGGCCATTCAAGCTTTGTCATTGATAGCATGCACCGGGCTACACTTCTGGTTCACCCTCAGCTTGAGCACTCGTCGAGGAACCCTTGACGCCCGGCACTCACAGGTCTACTCTTCTTCTCGATTTAAGAAGTTTCTCCTAGGTACGTCCTTATCCTGCGGAATAACTCTCCTAGGCTAACACCGTCTTCAGCAATGGAGATGGCATCTGCTCTCTTGATTGTTTACTCCTTCTATCGGCTAGTCGAGTTTGCAGATGGTGTTTCGGGGGATGTCTTTCAGAACGAGGCTGCTTTCATGGTTGTTGGAGGACTTCTCCCCTTCTTAGCCGCAGCCCTCTTGACAGCCATCCACCCAGGCAATGCCTTTGCTGATGCCTGGGCCCCTACATCACCTCGCGGGATCAAACGTCAGAGTCGACCGACCCCTGTACAATCTCCCACCCCTAGTGGCCATCCAGTCCACCATTTATATGACCCCGACATCCGCAAGCAGATCTCACCGACGTCACCAAAACACCGGAACTCAGCTGGACCACCTGAGCTTCCACAGGGGTCCATTGGCCTGCCTGCGCATCCGAAGCCGGTGCCAAGGCCCCCGAGTCCTCGAGACCCTAATGCCCCGCGTAAGGGGCCACCTGCACCGCTGAATCTGGCGGCTGTGCGTGCATCACGAAATAGTTACAGGGCAGAACAGAGGGGTCATGCACCAAAGGATATGGTTCCCGATGGAGAACTGTGGTAACCGGGTTGGCGGGGAAGTCGACTACAACCATAAGCTACTACCTGTTGTTATACTGGAGAGTTGGGTGCGGTTTCAGGGAGCGCTGCTGGCTGGCTTACTCGCTGTGATATGATACATGATATGGCTATCAACAGGCCATGATAGGAATAGGCAGCCTGTGGGATATTTTATTCATTTTGGTTGCTGAAAGGTGTTGGAATTTATGGTTCTCAGGCTGAGGACACTGGGGGGTTTCAAGATGTTGGATTTCAGTTGTTACTTGTATGGGTGGCGGTTCTGAATTATATATTAGGTTTATATATATATATATATGCGTCCACTCGGGCACCAGCTTCTGCATCGCATCTAGGTTAATGTGAATTTATCAAGGAACGAGTTCCTGTGCCAGACAATACCAGGAAGGTAACTACCGGGTGCACTGATATTCGATGTTGCGACAAGATGCCACGGCTTTGACAATTGACCAGTCTCAACGAGAACAGGCCAGTATATGCTAGACTTGGTTAAGATTGTTATTCTTCACTGAGGGAACTCAAGCTCTAGCTAGGTTCATGTACAACTCGTCTGGCTAAGTCAACCCTCTTTTTACATTAAAGCTAAATACTTCCCTGTTATGCTTCCACAGTCTCCATCAAATGCCTGGGCTCCCAGGCAATACCCGATAAGCTCCGGAAGCTTGTGAACGTGTTTCAAGGGCTACAAGGGCTATTGCGGGCGCAAAAAGATGATTTCTACGAAACCTTGTATCATATTGTAGTACATACCTTACATAGGGTCGCAAATGGCTTATCCTTGCAGCATTCATGCAACGAGAAACTGCCACCAACTCTAATCTCGGAGCTGCGCAGATCGTTCAGCATAACATGACTGTCAAAGTCGAAAACTAGAGTGCCAAGATGGCCGGATGGCCTGTCAATACCTAGTGGTATTGTTGACCGGAATGCAGGGCCAGGCACAGAGGCATGCTTGTACCCAATTAGCGCCTCGCCAGGAACGGGAGGGCAAGACAAGATCGACCGGATCGGCCAGATTCGACGCTATCGGAAATATATTTGACCCATTCGTGACTTGATCGATCTATTGGATTGGACCCGAGTCACTGTTGCGAGATCGCCACTGGCTTCACATTACCTAGAGAAAGCAGCGAAGAAATAGCAGAAAACAGGTCCCAAGAATTTGGTATCTTGTCTCTCATAATCCTTGGTCGTTGTAGAGTCGGGTTCCTAGTGGCCCAGCCTCTCTCAACTATGTTGCAGTGCTTTTAGGAGTCAAGATGAGATGAGATGAGGGGTCTGATGAAGGCTGGCATGAGGTCTCAAAATAAGCTGCCAATTCTATACCAATACTATCGCTGTCCCTCCAAGTTTAGAGCATATCCTACTGAAAGAGGGCCCCTCGTGTAACGTGGCCACGGGTTTGGCTCAAGATGTCTCATGATCAAGAAGACAAGATCAACAGCGCTTAGCCAGGTCCGGCCAAGAGAAACTCCCACCAACGTTTTGGCTCTCGATGGACGACAATGTGGCTTTATAGACCTCTGCCCTATGTCCAAGGATGTCCAAAACTGTCTGGAAGCGTACGCCATGGCTAGTCATCTCCCTCTAAAGAATGGGATTACCCCCATAGACCACGATTCCTCTCTTCTCCCCCCCCACACACACTGCACTTCTAAATGCTCAGGCACCTATGTCAGAAACTGAGTGACTCTTCATATCTATCACCAATGTCTTGCTCATTTGCACGGATATCGGATATCATCAATCGCAAGCTCGGTAGAAGCCGTCCTTCCGAGTACAACGACGACGACGACAACGAGAAGACGCGGGCTATATCCATCACCACTACTATCACCATCACGACGACGGCGACGGATTCGATTGGGTAGGATGGTGGTCCTGGAAAGGGCCGACTTTGAGCCCAGGCACGGCAATGGCCAATCTGTTTTCGACCTCAACGTCGCCCTGATGGTCATCACTAATATCTTGATGATTCTGCGATTGTATGCTCGTGGCATTGTGGCCAAGAATCTTGGATGGGATGATGGGCTGGCTGTTGTAGCCTGGGTCAATACTCCCCGCAACATCCCATCAAAACCAGAGTACACTAACATATGACTAGGGCCTTGTCATGAGCTTTTCTTGTATAGAAATCGTCCTCTTGACCAAGGGTGTTGGATATCACGTACGGGATGTGCCGAGAGAGACGTTGCTTCAGCTTTTGTCAGTATGTACCTAAGCATCGAATTCTACAAGTACACTCCAGACATTGACTATTCATTGCTACAGCTATTTCCTGTCGACAAGTTAGTTTTCATCTTGGCTGGTGGATTTGTCAGGCTATCAATCCTTGCTTATCTCCCTCGCATCAACAGAGAGAGTAAGACAATCACCCACTTGCAAGTTCCTATTACTGATCTGAGCCTGCAGGGTCTTTCATGACATGCGTCTATGGAGTCTTTGTGGCAACCATGATCACTGCTGTGACTTCATTCTTGTTTGTCCTTTTGTCCTGTAGCCCGGTATCGTATGTTGATTCCTTTCTCACCCTCGTAAAACACTCCGAGACTGAGTTTAATAGAGACGTATTCGACGCCGCAAAACCAGACAGACAATGCGTTTCGAAATATAGCCTGTCTCGTATGATATGGGCTCACTCGATCATGTCCACTATTCTCAACGTCGTGATACTCGGCCTCTGTATATGGTTTTCAGCGTCAACCAACAAGACACGAACTCAAGTCATCAAGATGATGTTGATGCTTCTGCTTGGACTGTTTGCCGTCGTTTCAACAATCACCAGGCTCATTATTCTGCTTACAACCAACATGAATGTGGACATGTCAGTCAACCACTGGGGTGTATTAAGAATGAGAACTGACATATACTACAGAACTTACAACAGCCTTCGAGTAGCACCATTCTTCCCCCTAGAGATCAACTCGGGTCTCTGGTGCAGTTGTCTCCCTGCTTTCCAGCCCCTTTTCGAGTGGACCAACAATCAGTGCTATAATCATTACAACATGAGGAAATTATCTCGAAGCAGCGCCCAAGAGCCTCTGAATGATTCTTGGCACAGAGACTACATGACTGCAAACCCTCACATCTCAATCTACGGGCAGCCAAGAGATTCAAGAGGGAAGAGGAAAGTATCGAATGCTGAATCAGCCACTGGATTCGCAATGTTGGAGAATGAAAGAGGCATCAAGTTAACTACTGAGTTTTCGGTGCATGTGGAAGACAGGGTGTATACTGGAGAAGGGTCAGAAGACATAGTATCGAGGACACCAGCGTGGAACGCATTCTGAGAGAAATTGTCTGGTATTGATAGTGCAAGTCACACTACCATATCTCAATAATCGTGGGATATTGGAGCCAAAAAAAGAAAGAAAAAGAAAGAAATGGTCATTGAGGCAGTATTGGGACATTGCATGGACCTCAGCACCCTCATTGATATTGATAAAGAGATTTATGCATAAACGTGGTTAAATAATATATTGTTCAACAAATGATTGAGGTTTGCCGACGAAAAGTTCTATCTTTGAAAACCAAATCTTTCAGTCAATCAGAACAAGTACGAGAAATTGAGCACGACTTTGCTGTGGTCCTTTGTTTCGCATTGGCAACTCTAATAAGCGATGAACAAAGGGCTCGATTCGAGTACCCAAGTTAGGTTTGTACAACCATCACAGAATATCAGCGTCAAGAGTCCGGGGGGTGGGCGATTGCAGCTCAAAAGGGTCTATATTGTCATAATAGTCACTGGTTCAAGACAGAAGCTGTCGATAAACTTGGGACGGACACAAGACGTCAAAATGATCGATGGAGAGTACCTTAGAAAAGACTAAGTTACTTGGCCTACCGATGGGGGAAGTATGGAATAGAAATGGGTGCGATGATAAACATTGAATGTTTACCAGAATTCACTCTGCATGAAGTTGTTTTGCAGCAAAGATGTCTGTATGTGTCCCAAAGAAGGAACATGCTCACCAAATGAAGACGTTCCCAAGAACGCGATACAGCAATTGACCAGCCTTGCCTGTATTCAACCTTCTCAAGTCCCTGTTCGAAGAGAACACTCATCTTGAGGGCCGCTGCACGGACACTCTTGATGGACAAAGCCTGTTGAGCTACAAAGGACCGTTTTCCACCGGGATTATTAAAGCCTCCGAAACCATGCCATAACTAGAGACTTATTCTTAGACATTATTCTTCTGATTCTTCTGGAACCAGATTCCATAGCTCAAGATGATGCAAGATAGCAAATCGGAGACAGGACAAACAGTGCATCACCACCAACAACCATCCCTCAAAGACACTGGCTCGGGATCACCTCGTAGCCAGAACGAGCCTTTCTTCGATGATTCCTCCGCGTCAACTAGACCAACCAGGACTCAAGTGGCCCGGGAGACCGTAGAAACATACAACAATTACAGAGATAAGCGAAAGACAAAGGATCTCAACTGGTGGGGAAGCAAGCAGCATGAAGCCGAGAGGGGCAATCCGGATCGTGAATTTCAGTTCGCACGGAACAGGCCAGTATCAAACGACGACATCAAGAGTGCGCAGCAAGCGTATAATGCTAGAATAACTGACCCTGCTACAGGTAGACCCAACCCGCTGGGCCCTCACTTGCGACCTACAACTCCTCCGATGGAGAAAGCCGAGAAGCAGATCAAAGGCCTGGAGGAACAGGGGGTTAATGTAACTCCTGAACTGAGAGACAAAGTGGCTCATCATTATATCTCCAACAACGGACTCCATGCAGCCCTCTTAATCTGGTGCAGGAACAAAGAGGATGTCCCTGTCCAGTATGTTAACGAGTACATCAAGAGCATGTCTCGACTGAAGCTCGAAATGGCCACGCAACAGCGTGACGTAACTGAGAAGCTAGGACAAGCCATCAAAGAGTGTGAGGCAAGGGAGTCTCGCTGTCAGAAGCTGCAAGCTGAAAACAGCAAGCTCAACATGGAGATACAAAGGCTCAAACTGGAAAAAGAGAAGACAGATATACAAGCGAGCTCTCTAGTAACTACACAAGATATTCGCCAGCTGCCTTTATATCCTGACATGACAGCAGTGGGCCAGGCGGAAGAGAAAAGGGCGCACCTTGAGGATTTCTCAATGCAATACAACAACCATTCTATCCCGCCTCCATCTACCGTACACCTGCCTAGTACCCCATTAACTTCCGCCAGAGATGCCTCCGAGTCTAATCAGAGCCCACCCGTAACACCTGTAACCAAGGAAAGTTTGGAGAAGAAGCCCTGGTCAGCAGAGGCGGCAAAGTCCAATGCCACTCAGGATGATGCTTGCAGAAACAGGGTCAAGGAACTGGAGTTACAACTTCAAAACCTCAAAGAGGAGCTTCGGGCCCGCAACGGCGGTACGAGAGTCCAGGGAAAACCCAACTACACCACGGTTGATAGCCTAGTCAATGCAGTTCGGAACGAGAATCAAGGAATCTGTGACCAAGAAGCACCGAACCTCGTGGACCGAATCAACTATCTGAATCTGGTCTGCTTCTTCCGAACTCGTAACTATCTTCAACTTGCTCTACGGGAGGGCGATCATATATTGGTAAAGATTCTCCTGAATGACGCTGACAAATGGGTCAAGTCATGCAAAGGGTTTCTCCAAACCATGGATCCAGAGGTCAATCTGCAAGTCGAAAGCTCCATGTTGATCCTACATGGTATGCGTCAAGTCTTGACGACCAAAGACGAGAGCGTGCTGATCGAGGGGGTCAAATACGTCAAGCATGGACGTAATGAACTCTGTAAGCTCCCAAAGAGTGACTCTTTTGCGCAGCTTATCCAACTTGCAGATTCTATCCTCCATGCGACCAAGTACGATGATAAAGAGAATAGTCTTGGTATCAAAGGACCTCCGTTCAATCCCTTTAGAAGAAAGAACAAGAGCCAATACACCAAAATTCAGGGGACTATCAAGGACGGCCCGGCCATGAAGGCAGAGTCTTTACGTCTCACGGGCGTCCACTCTCCTTTATCTCCCCAGAAATTCAAAAAGGACAGGTGAGGTGATGGCTTTGACCAGGGCGAGTATATCGACTAAGGAGAAACATTTCAGTTTGAGCATTGTGATTTTTGTTGATAGAGTTGTCTATAGAGTTGTCTATAGAGTATTGGTAAATTTTTAGACTTGTCGTATGTGTTTCAGTAGTTTCTCTCTGATTCTTTTATCTATATTCTTATTCTCTGTAGGCTCTAATAACTTGGTATAGTATTCTTCTAAAACAATGCCGAAGCTGAGATTTGTATACTACCTGAATGATTCGTCGTCCTTTATAGATAGATGATATATCTCTATTTCTCTACTATCAGAACTACGGACTACGGAGCACTATAGCCCCCATCGATAACAAAGTTGGCACCAGTGGCGTATGTGGAAGCGTCTGATGCTAGGAACAGATAAGCACCTTGGAGCTCATGAGGCTCGCCCTCACGGCTGTGTTCTTGTCAGCAGATCGACTGTATGGAGATAGAGAAATCATACCCAAGAGGAATCTTGTCTTTCCAAATGTCTTTTGTCTCTTGTGACACAAAGTTAGAGATCTCAGTAATGATATAACCTGGAGAGATGGCGTTGGCACGAGCATATCGAGCCCACTCAACAGCCAGACTCTTGATGAGGTGAATGACGCCAGCCTTGGCGGCATTATAAGCAGCCTGGAGCTGAGGAGTGTTTACGATACTTCCACTCATGGACGCCGTGGCAATGAAACTACCAGATGTGTAGTTCGTCAAAGGTTGGCCGTTAATATCAGTCCCCTCGACCTTCTGGCGACGCCAGTGTTTGGCTGCAGCTTTGGCACAGAAGTAGGTGCCATCCAGGTTGGTCTGGACAACGTCACGGTAGTGATCAAGAGGGCCGTCGACCATGGGACCTTTCGTCCAAGGAATGCCGGCATTGGCCACGAAGATATCCAACCGACCGTTAAGGTCCTTGACTGACTGGTCGACAGCCTTCTCAACAGCTTCTGCATCTCTCATATCAACCTGATAGGCCTTGACTGGACAAGTTTCGTTAAAAGTTGGACTTTTGGGTGTAAGTTGTAAATGCTCTACCTGAGACGTTGTATTTCTTGGAGATTTCTTCAGCACGCTCTTCAGCTTTGCTGCTGGTACGGTACCAGATTGCAATGTTGGCACCGACTTCAGCGTAGGCCTCGGCGATAGAAAGGCCGATGCCAGCGGCAGCACCGGTAATGATGGCAGTCTTGCCCTGAAGAGAGAAACGCTTCAAAATGGAGCCTCCATCAACCACGCGATTGTCATCATGGACGAAGTTGCCTCCATTGAGGGGGTTGAGATCAGACATGTTGAGTGCTGCTTCTCCAACAAATAAAGCATACAAAGTGATGGGGGAAAACAGCAGAAACACCGTGTCCCAAAAGATATGATGGTTTTATACGATCCAAGGAATAGCAATTGCTGGCCACATCCCCTCACCTTGTTCCGCGCCCCGGAGCCCTTCCCTCTTTGAAGACCCTCTGTTTATTATCAACAGTCAATGGTATCGACGACTCATGGCCCTCCGATACCAAAATGCTCTCCCTAGTTGGGACATTCCGAAGTCTTTGACAGGACAATTCCTTGTTACCACCGTTGTTCCGTCTCCATCGTGAAGTATTCGGAGTTACCCAAAAGAGACGAGTGAGAGCGCAACAGACTAGCGGTCGAAGGAGCATTTAACGACTAAAGCCGTTAGTTGTATAAAAGAAGAAAGGCTCGATGGAGACATTCTCGGCTGTCCGTCAATGAGACCGTTGATTCCATGATATTGAGTCTCTGATTAGCCAGGACCCTTGCTTTAAGGATTGTGGGAAGAAGTCCCTAGGGCCACTTGATAAGGTTCACTATCAGCAGCATCCTCCACTGTAAAGTAGTGGAGGGACTTCGGGATACGTATACCCAGTATGGACCTGGAGCACTCCTCAGTTGTTACCCCTTATAAAGTAAGTACCTCTTACCTTGGCCAACTTACACGTAAGGTAGGTAGACCCCCGACTCTTATCGACTTGCCTGTATGTTTAGCGGGATAGATTGTCTACGTCACATGCTCCACCATCATGATGCAGACGATTCAATGGAAGGCACCTTCGTGGGGTTCTCAACCATCCCCCCCAAAACCCATCGCCATAATAAATAGAACTTGTGAGCATCCTTTACTTTTGGAATTTGATTTTATATCAGAGCACACACCGGCTTATGCAAATTCTCATTGAATTCGTCCTCAGTGAGCTGTTCCTCAAACAATTGGTATACACAACCTACTCATCCTTTCATCTATCATGGCGAATACAGCAGCTTCCTCTAGGTCTCATCGTCCATATGATTCAAAGCTTGGAATCGTCACAGGTGGCTCTCGAGGTTGGTATATCACCAACCACTTCCAATTTACAAGGTCGCTGACTCGGCCAAGGCATTGGTGCAGCCGTTGCCGCGAGACTCGCCGCTAAAGGATGCAATCTTCTCCTTGTTTACACTTCCAACTCGTCCACAGAAATAGCTAGAAATCTTTGCTACGAGCTATCAGCTCAACACAGCATTCAATGCCTTGCAGTACAGGCCGATTTAGGCGAGCCGTCCGAAGCTTGTCCCAAAATCATTAAGGCTGCACGCCTCCTTCATGATTTATATAACCCGAACAAGCCTTTCCAAATCGATATACTAATCAACAATGCCGGTGTCTCGTCTAACCAGCATATGAATGATGAAAGACATGGAAAAATCCAAGAGGTCGAGTTTCACCGCGTCTATAATGTCAATGTCCTGGCCCCTCTCCTCTTGACCCAGGCTGTCGCCCCGCATCTTCCCACAAACCGCGCGGGCCGCATTGTCAATGTTTCCAGTGTATCTTCGTCTATCGGGTATCAGGGCCAGTCTGTTTACGCTGGGAGTAAAGCGGCCTTGGAAGCAATGACACGGACCTGGAGTCGTGAGCTGGCTACTCGTGCTACAGTCAATGCTGTCAACCCCGGGCCTGCCTGGGGGGATATGTACGCAGCCGCTGGACAGACTTTCTGGAACATAAACCAGCCTTATGTTGACGCAGCCCCATTGGCGCAGTACAAAGGGGAACCGGAGGTTTTGGCTATGGCTGGGACTGATGCTGAACGCTTTGATCGAACTGTACGTGAGAACATGGGTAATCGAAGGCCCGGGTTTACGACCGAAATCGCCGGTACAATTGATATGCTCTGTTCAGAAGAGAGTGGGTGGACAACAGGAAGTGTAATTTGCGCGAACGGAGGCATGAAAATGTCAATCGCGTAGAAGTTTTCCCGCACACTCTCGTCACACGTCAGCAAAGACATAGATGAACGGACCGATCCAGAACTTCGATGGTTGTCACATCCGAGCGGGTTCCCGCTTCATCACCAAAGAGCAACCCGGGTATCTAGCCATTGTGATTGCTCATACTAGCAAATTATAGCACGAGCTTTCACAAGGCAACTTCAGCCGGTTTCAGAACAACCGCTGGTCGGGTGGAAAATGACCAGACACACAGTCGATCATCGATTTGCGTCTTTTCATGTGGTTAGACGCATGTCGCTCTTGTCGAAGTGACAATGAAGAATTTATATCAGAAAACGACCCCTTGTATGAGACTGCCTTCATAGCTTGTCGCCTTATGCGGGCCCAGGGACATAACTGTGACTGCGATACTACAAGCATAATCGCGGCCATGCTGTTGGCGTCCGGTGGCACAGCCAACTAATCAGCCACTCGTTCTAAGCAATGCATATATGTTTTGGAGGTGCGACGGCTTCTGGCAGGAATGAAACGGTGGCGCATCATAAAAGGGGGTGAAAGCCCTGCCATAGCTGTGTGCAACCATCTACACCATAAATGATGCCGAGTACTTTGCAAAGAGCCGCCTCGACATTGTTGGCAACTTCATGTAGCGGCATCAAGCATGTTTGTTTCACACTCAATGTTGTGCGACAACGTTTAGCAGATTCGACATATCTGTCAGCTTGACAAAGCATGCTTGTATCACACGATGCCGTCGCATCTGGGGTAGAAGCCGACGATACACAGGGATTGCTTTGAGATCGAGGTATACGTCTGGCTGAAGTGCTGGTCGGGGACATTCAAGCGACCGAAAATGACACAAGGGAGGTTCTTGCTAGTGGAACAAGAAGATTCGGGGCACATCTCAAGAGAATTTCTCTTCATCTTGATAATATCGTTGGAAGCGGCACTCCGCCAGACGCTTCGTCCAATCCTTACTCCTCCTTTTGAGGTTCCAGTGACAAGCCTGTCAAGGTCTGAGGCTTCCTTTTACTTCATTTCCTGAGCAAACTCAGACAGGATGCTGACTCTATCCTGCGATATCAGCTTGCGAACTTCAGGAAGTACCTGAAAAGTTTCATTTTATTTTCGTCCCCACGCAAAACGATTCATTAGAGTCATGAAAAAGAATAATATATAAGCAAGTCTGAAACACCTCAAGTGATACAACACAAATGCGGGTTGTGTATGCGTATACTCAGGGACGGAAAGTTGGTTATCCCTGCAGACTACATACATTACTTGTTTGAATGGGTCAAGCATTTGGAAGTGACCAAGCCATGTGCAAAGGGTTACCGCAAACTGAGAATAAAGTTTAATGAAAGTTACCCCTCTCATGAACTATAGTCTGCGGCGAAGTTGTCACATCTATCTGGGCGTTTTGTATTCGACTGTTGCTCCTGAAAGACATCCAGAAGACTCGTGACGAGGAAGCCCGCAGCCGCGACTCGGGGATGGGATACCGTATAAAAGCTTCGTATTTATACCTATACTCTCTTGAGCCGTATTTTTCTGATCAATGAAAGTGGTCATGCAGAGGTTGAAGCACAGTTTCAGCCTCAAGAAGCACTGGAGGTGGCCGACACAGCTCTACATGTTGGCAAAGAACACTTACTTTGACGCTAGATGGCGGACAGAGAGATTGTCGTGGCTTTGAAACCAAGGCGCAAAATTGGCACAGAGATTAAGTGTGTTGTACCTTTGGTCAGGCGTGTTGACCCGATTTCGAGCTCAACCCCTTCATGATGATTCATGCCAGTTCCCGCGATCTTTGGACTCACAACCACTCACAGATCAACTTCTGGCATCAGTCACACGCTGCCCAGATTACGTGCATATCTGTTGGCGGTCAAGTATCTGTCAGTCAGTCAAAGCTACAGGTACGTCCCTGCTAATGCAATGAGCTGCTCTGGAGTTCTCTCCGGCGCTGTTTCGAACAACCGATAGATCCCACATATCGATCACCGATAGCCCCTATGTGAATATTTTGAAATATTTGCGATATAACGCCAAAGTGCCAGGTGGTAAGATCAAAGCCTCTCTGATCATGCCAGCTAACAAAAGATATGAAAGAGAGGCAACGCCCATGAGTTCCGAACATTGGCTACACCTCATTTAGTCGTCGCCGTGTGACTTCGGAGATTGATCCTCTGACACACTGATACCTTGCCTGACTTAGTTCTTCACGATCATTGTGTCTTGTCCTACTTAAGTACGGGTCACCAAGTCGACGGCAACGCCTACTTCTTTCTCTCCCCTCTCTGCTGTCAACACCACCTCTTCCTCCTCTTCATATCTGAAACTATTTGCCAGTTCGACTCTCAAACTTCACCCGCACTTCGATCTAACAATGTCAGGCGGTTCAACACATCCAGATCCAGTCTTTGCCGCCAAACTGGCCCGGCGTCAACAACTGAACTACAATGCCATGGTTGTCTTTGCTGCAGCTATGACTGCTTTCTACTTCACCATTTGTATAGCCATTCTTCTCAGAAGTCTTTGCGTTGATCTAGGAGCCTCGCGCAAACCAAATACCGCCACAGCGATCTTCCGGTAATGATCTGTCCTCACCAGGAACGGGACATTGGTTTAACTATATCACAGGCGCCTGAGAGCGAGCGCTCTTGTAAATATCGCGAGGCTACCGTCGGGAGGATATACTCTTACTGTGATTGGATATCTAGTTATCAACGCCATCGTCACTCTTACTTACCTAGACAACGACAATATGCCGCTTCTTTCCAACATGGCGTCTCGAACTGGATGGTTAGTCTCCAAGCAAATTTCTCAACAAAGCTTCCAATAACGTAATCTATACAGGATGGCTATTGCAAATCTTCTCATCGTCGTCCTACTGTCCCTCAAGAATACTCCCGTTGTCATATTCATGACCTCCTCTTATGAGCGCCTCAACATTCTCCATCGCATAACCGGTTACACTACTCTCATCTTCGCCATAGTGCACTCTTGCAGTTACGCTGCCGCGTTCGGTGCCCAAGACTTTCTCCAGCGTTTGCTAGCGAGAGAAGAAATTTTTGGCATGGTCGCTATGGGCTCATTCCTAGTCCTTGGCTTTGCCGGTGCTGTCCTCCGGACGTGGTGGTACGAACTATTTTACTACCTTCATGTGGTTTTCTGGATCCTTGCTGTCATCATGACCGGTCTCCATCAGCCGGAGCCTAGCAAGAAGGTTCTCTACGTCATTTTTGCTTCAGCCGGAATTTGGGTCCTCGAGCGAGTCATCCGCCTCGCACGTATCATCGTTAACAGCGCCAATAACACCGTCACTCTCACGCCGCTCCCCAATGGCGGTACTCGTGTCACACTTGCCAAGGTACCATTTGGATCTTCATCTGGCAAACATGGCTTCCTTTGGATCCCCGCGGTACGCGCCATTGAAACCCACCCTTTCACCATGGTTGCTACCGATCCCCTCGAGTTTGTTGTGGCAGCCCACGACGGATTCACTAGGGCTCTGCACAAGTGTGCCCTTGAGAGCCCGGGAATCACATTGAAAGGGTCAGTGGAGGGCCCTTACGGCGATCACCCTGATGTCAAGGGGTATGACAAGGTCATGCTTATAGCAGGGGGCAGCGGTGCAAGCTTCACGGTTGGCGCGGCTCTAGATATGCTCAAAAGCCTGGACACAGATGCTGAGATCGACATCGAATTCGTGTGGATGATCAGGAAGCCAAGCAAGTCCACGTTAAATCCCGTGACGTCGCAATACTGACCAATCTTGCAGCATATTTCACCTGGTTCGCCCAACATATCGAGACTCTACGTCGAGATCATCGTGTCTTGACCAAGATCTATGTAACACGAGCTTCAGAAACCGAGATTGTCCCCCGGAGACAGCTTTCCTCCGGATCGCACGCTTCTTCAAGTAGCACTTTTGTCGAGCCCGACCCAGAAAAAGACGGTCTTTCGCGAGTCGATACTACTCGATTATCACTTGACATTGAGAAGAACGAAGTTCTCCCAGTCGCGATCGATGCTTCTTTAGGCGATGTCTTTCACGTTGGGAGACCGGATGTAGCTTCACTTGTGAAAGAACTGATAGAGAGTACGCCATCCGACAAACGAGTGCTGGTGATGGGCTGCGGACCACGGACACTCATGTCGGCCGTTCAGAACGCGGCTGCAGACTGTATCGTGGAAAACGGAGCTGGCGTTGAGTTGCATCTGGAGCAATTTGGGTGGTGAATAAAAGTTCATGATTGATCTTATTGCATGTGATTGCAGATCTGAGCTGGAATCAAACGATATGAGCAATGATATTGAGGTTGACGAGCAAACTCAGTCAGTTAAAAAAAAAACGCCAGGAAATAGCAGCATCCACCAATTTTCTGGCGTTTTGGCCTTTGAGCATTTGGTAATGCATTGATTATCATATCGTATCAAACATATGATACATATATACACATATACATATCCTTGAAACTATAACTAAAAAAGGCTATGTATTAATGTCCATTCAAGAACAAGGACCTGTTGGGTATAGAGCATCCAAAAAGCAATTCATCCGTCATTGACCCAACCTGACGCCTCCCTTTTTTTTCGCTGTTTATGAATCCAAGAGTTCCGAAACTATTCGACCGTAAAATATATATAAAGATGGGAGAAAAAGAGGCATCAGCATTAATTATGGTGCCGCATTATCGCGACTATCTTCGCATTGGTGGATCGAGGGTTGTGAGGACCGGCGCCGAGTACTGAGGAACTTGGCACTGATGACCTTAGTTCCATGTGACACCTTATCCAAGAACCCCTGAGACTTCTCCTTCATCGTGCTTTGTCGGCGCGCTCTCCCAGCAATCACTGTCTCCATGGGCGACGGCATCTCTTCATCCGGCTGTCTAAGGGCATCACGCACCGCGGGGCAAGGATCGACGAGCTGCTTGGCGTCGCTGATAAATTGGAGAAAGACCGAGTAGGACATGCAAACAGCCTGGAGGACAATGACGACGATGAAAGCCGTTCTAACTGTGCCTCCGTGCTTGATTATGCCGTACATGACGAAGGGGAAGAAACCGGGGCCGGAACTACCCATAGTGATAAAGGCGGCAGCACGCTTGGTGCGTCGACCTTGACCGCGAAGACCAATGGCAAAAATAAGAGGGTATATGGGGCCCTCGAAAAAGTAAAAGAGAACGATGGGTATAACAAGAAGGTTAGGGTTGGGTGGACGGACAACCACAGGGAGAAGGGCAAAGACGAAACAGCCGGCGATGCAGGCGGTGAGGATGGTACGGGGTCGTGGGAAGCGGGAACGATATACAGAGAGATATGCAAGGCCAGCTGCCATGAAGCGGGACACAGCAAAGGCGGTATGCGCGATGAGGAGATAATCGGGTATCGAGAGTGCGATGCCAGGTGGTTTGTCGGGGTTGGGAACGTCGCCTGCACCTTCGGTTGCTTGCTCGCCGGTGTTGGGTGTGTTGGGGAGTATTGATATCATGAGGCTGCGGAAGTAGATGCTGAAACACTCCTGGGCAGCGACGTATGTGTATTGAGCAATAACGGCGAGGATAAGGCTCCATGTGCGGAGCTGTAGACCGCCTCTTTTCTTCTGAGGATCCATAGGGAGATGCTTGGCGGACTGCTCAAGCTCACGGTCACTCACTTCGGGAAGTGGCATGTAGTAGAAGAAGAGCCCGAGGGCAACACACAGGAGTGTGATTCCTAGATATGTCCATTGCACGTTGATGAGAGTCATGCTGGTCGCGCTGCTCTGTTCCACAATGCCCTTGAAGAAGACTTTCTGGGCCAGCAGGCCGCTCAGAACACTGCCGGTGCCTTGGATGCCTTGCGCCATGAGCACGCGAGTCTCGCCGTATTCGGGGGGCCCGCAAAGTATCAGGAATGCATTTGCGCCGACCTCTAGAATTGATAGACCAAACCCGACGACGAAGTTGCTGAGCATGAATCCGGCGTATGATTGGGTGACAGCCGAGGGCCAGAAGATGACAGTTCCAATCCCATAAAAGCATAGCCCGACGATAAAAGTAACTTTGAAGCCACCAACGCTGTCGTGGCCGTTGGCCTTGTGCCGCCTCGATCGGTTGTGCTCGTCGCGCCGAAGAATCCATTCGCCTACTAGCAGGGGTCCAAAGAAGTAACCGCCTCCGAAGTATACAGACGTCATGCCAAGTGTTTCAGCTGTGGTCATATTGTCGACTTTCGCAATGACGTTGTTCAGAGTATTGAGTAGGCCGTAGGATATTCCCCATAACAGAAATAAAATGGACACGATTGTGCAGTATTTGAATGACTGCTTCTTGTTGCATTTGAGCATACTTTTAGGTTTTGTCATGTTGACAAAGCCAAAATAAACACCCTCGACAGTTCCTGTTGAAGACGTCATAGTTGTCGATGTTTGAAAGGTCCCATTGCTCTGGTACCCACGTTGCGCAGGACGAGTTGGGCCTGGCTCGTCGAAAGGTGTTGTCAAGAATTCCATCGCGCTCATGGGAGCATTAGCATCGAGAGGCTGTGCGCCGGTCTGCGCGACAGGAGGGGGCTGCTGAATACTGGCGCGATGGCCTGTTGAAGGCGTATCTGAATCGTTGGGCCCCTTGGGTGTACTGGCGCGGGTTCCATTGGGGTCGTAGAGCATGGAGGGGAGCAGCTTGAGGACCAGAGGCTTCAACGTCGGGACGCAGGCGCACATCATGCCAACGTTGACCTCAACAGCACTCCACATGAGCGATCGCGAAGCGTTCCAGGCAAAGTCGGTCTGCCCACCAAATCGAGACTGGGGATCGGCAGTCGTACTGGTTGGTGCTGTAATGGCTTGCTGAAGGTAGTAGATTCTGACCACATCGACAACGGTAACGAATATTCCAACGGTGAAGGTGAGGACCAGAATTGTTTTCTGGCGAGAAGGGAGGCGCATGCCGGTGAGGACAGGTATAGGCAGCGCGAGAATGGCCAGATCCGTGACGATGTTGACGGGCGAGGAACATATAAACTCGGTAAGTAGTGGTATACACTTCGCGCGTTCGTCATAGTTAACATCCCAAGCGGCTTGGGTCGGGCGACATTGGAAAACATTCATGAAGGTGAGAATAACACCAGCAATATTGACGACCGCAAGTGTCAACCAAGAGGCGAATCGAAGTACTCTTTGGGTGTGCTTGGCCAATCGGAGGTAGAATATGAGTATGGAGGTTTTGGTGGCCATCAAGGCGGGATTGTACAGGATGGAGAAGACATATTCGCAACGGCGAAGGGCAGGCAAGCGGTTGGGGTCGATATTTTCGTCGTGTCGTCCGAGACCATTGTGAACGCCGAAACAGATGGTGAAGGAGAGGAAGAAGGCGAAGAGCCATGCGAGGATCATGACGCGGTCATCCCAGGTGACATTCCTAACAATGAAGGTCCGCGAGACGATTCGTGCTGCGACGAAGACTGTAGCGAGGACGAGAGTGGCCGTTGTGACGGCGAAGACGACCGGCCCACGATCTGGAATGCCTCCATCGCCGGTGGAGGCCGAATCGGACATATCGAGGACGGAATTGGACGAGACATGGACTCGTCACTCGTGAAATTAGATGTGAAGCTGACTGAGATCGAGAATGGCTTGACAAAGTTGGAGCCGTTGCTACCTCGAAGAGCGTGCCATGTCTTCCAAGGTTCGATGTTGGAATATCGAGACTGGATTCAGGAGATTGGTTACTGGGAGAGCAGGAGTAGGATGAAATTGGATCGGCAAAAGAGTCGGTTGGAAGTCGAAGTTTGGCGGGTAGAGGCTACCGAAGGCTAGGTACCTAGGTAATAATAATAAGCCCACGGCAGGGCAGGTAACGTAACCTTGGGATCGTGACTGCCCGTGCTAGGCTGGGCTGGGCTGTCAGATGGCGGATATTGTCTGGTTTTCGGCGTCTTGCGGCGGCGTATTTCCGTCGGGATGTGCCTACCGGGGGGGGCCTTAGAAAAGACGAAAAAGCACCAGAAAATGTAAAGGAAAAGAAAAGACAAGACAAGATGATCTGTTGCAGATTTTTGCTAGTAACCGAGGAGAAGAAAAGAAATATGTGTTCCTTCCCGTCCTATCAAGTTTATGCCACAAGCAAGAAAAGCCAGACCAGGCCAGGTCAATCGTCAAAAGTGTTTGTGTCCAAGGTCCAAGCCCCCCAAAAACCCGCCGGAGAGAAAAAACCGGGGTGAGTTTTTTTTAGCGGCTTTAGCGGGTATCTCAGCCACCAAACAGTGGGTGAGAGTGACGGGAGCCAGCCAATGGATCCATGGGGTGCCCCGCCGGCAGTCGGGAGACCGTGGAGCTGGGAACGTTGGACCATGAGGCTAAATAAGAGTCGACACACTAACACCTCACACCCCAACGATGTGGATACCTCGGGTTACGATGGATAGGTACTTTTACAACGGCATTCCATACGGGCAGTTCGATTCAAACGGTGAACCTAAGGCTGAAGGTTGAGAGGGAATAAGAGTCTGGTAGGGTAGAGAGTTCAGGCTACCCTGGAATAGGATGAGTACGAGGTCTTGAAGAGTTGGGAGACGGTATCCGTGGTTCAACTCAAATTGACAGAGTTATCAAAGTCAAGTCCCTTTAGGTCGCACTGCATACGAGTCAATGGATAATTTACCGACTAATCGGATGCTCGATTGTCAGGTGACTCGAGCCGTTGTGTAGGTAATTCTGGAGTTCGAGGTTGATGGCTTTTCTGTTGGTCTAGTTATTGGACTAAGCTAGCTTTGCTAGGGACGACATTTCTAACAGATCCAATTGCCATTGAATCAAGGCTGTAGTTATATTAGCCATTGGTTAACTACCTACCTACTAAATCATCAGGTAGCTCCAGGTATTGGCGAGGTCCGCCATCTACTGCATCGAGACCTGCAAGAAAAATCTCTTCAGAGCAGATCCAATTCTCTGTCTGTGTCTCGGCAGGGTCTCATGGGTCGGGTCTGTCTTGGCTGAATTGAATCTTGGCTGCTCAGCTAAGCTAAAGTCAACTTTAGTCTTTACATACCCTACCTTGAGCTCGGTCGCTTGATTAGGCGAATGAATAGTGCTTGACTGTGGCATCCCATCCTCTAAAAAAAATGCCGCGCACGAAATTGAGGGGAAGATGACATTGGCGCGTGATGAATGGTTGAGCGATAGGTTGCGCTACGTAACTAGTAGTGGTTTCCAATGGATCGTCATCGTCATCATCAGCATAAGCATCATCCTCTTCCTCTTCCTCTCAAAAGACAACCGCTATTTGCGACTGCAGCATGAACTCTCATGCTCAATTGGATGGTTCCTGATTATGAGTTTTGTTTCAGTCGGGCCTTTACTTGCCTCAAGTTCAACAGTCTGCACCAGCCCAATGTACAGTACAGTACAATACAATACAATGCATAGAAAGATCGTTTCCTAATGCGAGCATGACAACAGCATCAGCGCTGGAAAAGAATCTCGGTGCCTAGGTACTTTATTTCCCCATATTGATTGCCGCGGCTCCGCTGTTATCCGACTTTTGAGCATCGCTCCACAGACAATGGTTGCGTTGCTCTACTCTGCTCTCCAGTTCTCAAGCCACTTTACACTTGTTTTGTCTGTGATGAATACCTACCTAGGTACCTAGATAGTGATAGGTACTGTAGCAGTCTGTTCACATGCTGCGCCCGCGCGCCGTCGTGCCGTCGCTCCTCTGTCTCTTCTCTCTTGTTTTATCCCCATTCACTCAAAGCTGAAGAGACTCGATCATACGTCATGCCCCTTGACAAGGATGGCAATGAATCCATAGCATGACAAGTCGACGACCGACAAGCTTTCACCAAGCCTTGATCGTCGGCCCGCCATCGCCATTAGTAGACAAACAAACGGTCTGTGGGTGGTGGGTGGGTGCATCATCAAGACTGATTGACCGTCACTTTATCATTTCAACTGATTCTCAGTTTTCAGCCATCATTTCGTTTCCACTTCTCACCGCAACAAGAAAACCTACTCAACCAAATACATATCAACATCTGCAGCCAAGACGCACCTTGATCACGAGCCTAACCGAGAATGCCAGCGGGCATGGCATGGCCTCGACTGGTCTTTGGTCTCGACTGTCTCTCGTGTAGCTCATTTTTGGCGCTCCCTTGGGACTAAAAGGGCGGTGCTTATTAGTGATTGAGTGACACCAGATCATCACTTTCATATCCACTGAGGAGGGCCCATTCAATTGACTTTATTGGGCGGGCCCATTCAGCTGCCACGTTGATCAAATCTCTGCTCATTTTTTGTCGTGTTAGTATAATCGATCTCCCCATTCTTTGTAGTAGCACAAAGCGTCTGTAACCGATGCAGACGCAGGGTCTTTCCACCGTAATTTGGACTGCCCATCTCAATAGATGGGCTGGAGTTGGGAGAATTGTAAGGCATCGGTGCCTTTTCAGTCCAGAATTTGAGGTGATTTTACAGAGGAGAGAGAGCTTGAAAGCAAAAGGAGCTCAATTGTTTAATGAAACCAAAATCTTCACTCTGAATATATGTACACATGCATGCACCTTGAAAAGCTCAACTCATCCAATCAGGGTGACTGGCTTAGTACTTATACTGTACGAAGCCAAGTACTTAGCAGTGCGCGTTTCGAATAAAATCTCATCATAAAAATTTAGATTTCATCACGCCGTTGTATCGATTCTTCCTGCAACCTTCCCTCCCGGCCCCGAAACCTAATGCCCCTCCGATTCAAGTCGGCATCCGTTGTCGACTGTCGGCGTTGAAACCCCGGATCTCCGGTCACCCCGCCCCGCCGTTATCTCCTAACCCCCGTCACCAACGTCATGGCGACAACAATGGCATATCACACGTCATTCCCCTAAACCATTCAGACGACAACAACGCACTCCTTGAAGGTCCTTGAATCATGTAATGTTATTGACTTTCTCTCGTTAAGCCCGATTGTCATGAATTCTCCGCCGCAGACTTCCGGCTCCGGCAGCGCCGCTTCCGGTCCGTCCTCTGACCCTCGTGACGACACGCCTTTCACTTCAGAGGAGACGCCCTTACTTGCTGGGTCAAGCTCAAGCTCGGCAGTAAGGTTGGGTACGCAGAAGGATAGCAATTCTCGTCATGTTGAGACTCAATCCAAAGTCCATATCCCGCTTGCGAGAGCAATTGCGATAGGAGTGAGCTTGTGGCTCCTCATCTTCTTAACAGGTCAGAGATCTATTCATCATCTGTAACTTTTCTAATATAGATTTGGCCATTTACTAACTCATCTGTAGCATGCAATATGTCTGGCATGACTCTGATTCAGGGCGCCATTGCATCTCAACTTGGTTCCCACGGCTCGTCTGCCATGTGGTTCACCAGTGCCTACCTCATTCCCATGTCTTCTCTCGCTCCTGTAGCAGGGCGCCTGGCAACCATCTTCCCACCTAGGACTCTTATTCTCCCCATTGCGGCTCTCATAGCCACTGGCGGACTGATCTGTGCCCTCTCGGCTTCGTTCGGTACGTTTGTTGCCGGCCGAGTCATTGCAGGCACAGGTGGTGCTGGGGTTTTGTCACTCGCCATTATTATTGGGCTGGAGTTGGCCAGCGAGAAGTCGAGAGGTCTTGTGCTAGGCTTGATTAACGCGGGCTTTACTGCTGGTGTTTCCTTTGGTGCTATCGTATTCGGGGGTCTGATGCCAGTTGTGGGATGGGTACGTTGAACTCATTTAGACTAGGAACTTTGGGTGCAGGCAGTGACTGACCGGTCGACCATAGAGGCCACTATTCTGGGGACAGATCCCTTTCGCTTTCGCCACAGGCTTGGGAGTATTTATCAGTATACCCGCTGCAGCAGAAGCACACGATACCAAGACGTCTACGAGAGAGAAGCTCGCGCGAATCGACTATCTTGGGGCTGGTCTTTTGGTAAGCTTCGCATGCTCTTGTCTCGGTGCAGAATCGTCGCTAACTCACACTTCAAGACCACGTCTATTGTGCTGTTTCTTTACGCAATCGCAGATGAAATCGAAACAGTACCCCTTTGTATCGCACCCGTCATCCTTCTGCTCTTCCTCGCAGTTGAGAACTACCTGGTAGCGGATCCCATCATACCCGTCAAGGTTCTCTCTTCGTGGGGTATCCTATTCTCATGTTTCGCACAGCTGGGTCTCATGATAGCCCGTTGGAGTGTTCTGTTCTACGCGCCCATATTCATGCTTGCGGTTCGAGGCTCCTCTCCGGCAGCTGCAGGCTCCATTCTGATTCCTACCAATGTAGGATTTGGTCTGGGTGGCATCCTCGTCGGCTGGCTTCATGTGCGCCGAGACGGTGCTTTTTGGCTGCCCTCCATTTCAGCCCTTGCCATTTTCACTGTGAGCACCTACGTGCTCTCTCTCATTAGCACTACGAGTCTTCCTCTTGCTCTCTTCATCGTAGTCGTGCTGATCAACGGCCTTGCGACGGGTGGAGGAGTCAACTACACACTTGCGCATATTCTGCACCTCAGCCATGATGATACCCGATACATCGCCACCAGTCTGCTGGGTACGTTCCGAGGCTCGGGTTCAAGCTTCGGTACTGCGGTGGCCGGGGGTATCTTCTACCGCTTACTCAGAGGAAATCTTGTGTCGGGGTTTCTCCAGCTGGACGGTGGTGAGCATCTGAGTCATGCTCGACAGAGACTGATATCTAGCTTGGTTAACACGCCAGGGTTGGTGCACGGCGGTGACTTGAGTCCGGCAGAGCAGAACATTGCGACAGAAGGCTATGCCGGCGCTACGAGAGGCGTCTGGCAGGCCATGGCCACGCTGGGTGGCGTGGTCGTTTTGTTTCAAGCCCTGACAGGAAAGAAAGCGCCTGAAGATAGGCGGGAAGATGAGCAGCCAGATGAAGAGGCAGCCAGGGCTGTTGTAGCTGAGAACGAGGGTGTCGGTGAAGCGTGAGGCCAAGGCCAAGGCCAAAGCGAAGGTGTTGAACTATCAAGATAGAGTTTTGAAGTATTTTTGGATACTTTGGGGGATGGATGTTTCGAGAGGTTTTACGGATAACTAGGTACAGTGCGTTACGTACCTTATGTCAGTTCATGACGCCGCGTTTGTTTAGTTATACCTTGGACAGCAAACGTATACAGTAAAATGTTACAGGTTCAACTGACAGTGTGTTCTGAAACAAAACATTGTTTACAGTTTGGCATTGGCCAACAAAGTATCTTTGCAGTAAGGGAAACGGTGACTCGAGCTAGTAAAACAGTCCAGTGCCAGAGCTACAACTTTGTTGTGGTGACGATCACCACCGTGCGTATGTTGGTCAGTTATCAACTTCTCATGAGGGATCAAACATGGGCGTTTCACGAGTGGTCACGGTGCTTTTATGCTTGGTCTATGCATACCTATACATACACAGTAAGAAATTTGAAAGCAAAAATCATCTCTCCCGGGACGGCACATCCCGCAATCTCCATAGATACTATGCGAACTGTCTGTCACCGTACGATATTTAGTGGTGCATAAGTAAGGAGTTTGCATAACGTGATTTAGTTGGCTCCTTATGCTATGTAACTGTGCTATACCTTAGTACCTTTAGTGCACCTCACTGTCCTGCATGGATGCATGCTAGACCCCTGCCTAATCTCGCTATCAGGTCCCGTTTGGGACGAACCCATGGTTTGTGGCTCTGCGGGCCGGTACCCGTTGGTCGAGCCAATCGCTAAGCTTAATCGCAGCCACCCGCCACATGAAGCATTTACACGTCCCAGGCTCCCCTAGGAGATAGCTAAGGTACGGTACCTTGGACATCAAATCGTCTCAAGTTGCAGCTCCACTTCCATTGGACGTCAATCAGTTACTTTGATCCCAGATCCTGGCAATGCAACACCGTTAGAGAGATCTTGCCCGTCGGCACTAGTAAGGAAGCTTCTTTCAGAGTTCACACTTGTCAGAGGAACCCGACCGATCTAAGGTACCTTACCTTACCTCACTCACTGAACGGATACCTAGAGTAGCCATCTCCGCTACTACACTTAGTACCTACATACATACATGAGATGCTAGCACTACCACCTTACTAACCTCAAGATAGTCACCACCAACCTGGTTTACCATTGTCACGCCTTTCTCCCATCCCAGTCTTGGTACGTACATATGCATGTACCATCCATTGGATGACCGATGATCACTCAAAATAACCACGCGCTCCAATCCCAACCCTGAAAGGTTTCCTCAGAAGTTACAGGGCCAGCTTATTCTGCCGAATCTTCAATGACAACCATGAGCCTCTAACTCTTTACACTGTTAGTTCGCTGCTTGCACTGACTCGTGGTGGAAATAATCACCCAACAATTCATATGTAGACCCCAGATTCACTAGGTAGTTACACCTAGTTTACTATACTGTTTTATATCTCATTTTGCTCTGTTCGTGTTTCAATGTTTGTTTCCAAGCTCTTCTAATATACAGTGGCTAATGCTTTTCTTCAAGTATTTCATACCAGTTCGTTGTCTGTCGAGGATCCCGCCCTCATGAAACATCCATTGACTCAACCATCCCGTTCGCCTGTAAATGCTGCAAGTTTGTCCATTGCGCCCAAAATTCCATTTCCGATTGCCGCGTTGAGCTTCCTGAGCCATGCGTCCTTCGCGCATCGCCCAGCGACTGATTCCTCCTATCTATGTACATGAATAATAAATAATAATAATCGTAACAAAAAGAAGACATACAAGAAATAGAGAGAAGAAAAAAAAGTGAATTTGGGCCTATCTCAGTCGCTCTCAAGGGTTGACGGTTGAGTTGCCGAGGAAGAAGTCAAGATCGCCTCCATGCCCGTTCTGCGATCGATTTTCATTCTCGGCCAGTTGCTCGAGAAGAGCCAAGAATGGGTCCTTCTCCTCTCCTGGGCCTGTTCCAGTACTGCCATTGTTGCTTCGCGCTCCAGGGCTTGTCGCTGTCGGGCGAATCTGGTTGAGGTGCATCTTGGTATGGCTGTCATCGCCTTGCCATGCCGCTGGGCTGCCAAAGGCGTTGGTGGGCACTGTTCCGAACATAGCATCATAGCCTCCGTTCGCTTCATTGATCATTCCTGGTCCAGCATTCGTAATGCTTGACCCTGAGCCATAGCTGTAAGGTGGGCTGAAAGGTGCGCCACCCATTGGGTGCATGTTATGAGATGAAACGGCATGCGACGTGGGTGACATGGTGAAACCTGCTGCCGCTGCCGCCGCGACTGCCGCATTATTTGCGGATGCATCACCACCCATGTGGTCATGCATAGTGTACATCTCCTGGTTTTCGTGATGGGTCGGGATTGAGGTTGGTGTTGCAAGGAGGCCAGGCGATGAATGCGGCATCCCTCCCGATGTATACGAGAATGATCGTCGAGCGGTGCCTGGAGTAGGTAGTCCCGATGTAGAGGGCGCCAGGCTCGAAATAACCTTCACGTCAGGTCGTCTCCGGTTGATAGGTCCTGGTGGAGCCGTGTTCTTGCGCTTGAGACTCGGTCGCTGTAATCCATCGTTGTTTCGGAGGGTGTCTTCAGCAGCTGGTCCAGCACCCATGTCAACTGCAACATCTGCAAGGCGAAGATTGGCTGCATCGAAACTGAAAGATGGGCCACCCGGGCCTCCAATGTTGGAGTACCGATCGAAGAAATCCTCGCTGTGAAATCCAGGTGTATAGCGCATTGAGCTGCGAGATAGAGCTTTCACCAACTCGCCATGTGCGTGGCTAATGTCTTGAAGTGTCTCGCGTTGGTGTTGTACTGTAGCCCAGGCATACCGCAGCTCACTCAGGAATTGCATCTCTCTTGACAGAAACTCTGCTGCCGAGCTGAAGACATTGAACTCGCCCTGGCTTCCTTGCTGACTGTAGTGGGCTCCGTGAACGTGAACTGTCCCTGCTGTGCAGACGCAATATCCAATGAAAGCCGGCCAGTCAACAATCCCCGATTGCTTCCCAAGTTGAATCAGCTCCATAATCGCGTTAGCGTGAAGGAAGCACATGTTAGTGGCTTCAATCTGCCAGGACTGATGCTGCCCTGTCTCTGCAAGTTCTGCAAGATCGATAGGGAGAAACGGTCGGTAAATGAGACAGTGGATCAGGTGGTAGATAACTTTGCTAAGCAGAAGGATAGTCGAGTCGGCCTGTCCAAAAAGAGTGCCAAGGTTGGAAAAGACGTCTTCAGTTCCAGAAGCCCACACATCTAGGTCTTGACGGATCTTGGATATTGTGGAGAGTGTGTGCCATGGAAAGTGAGAGTCGCCCTTGACGCCGCCAGCGGCAAGATATCGATTTGTGTTTCCAAGAACACGTGTAATGTCGATGAGCATGCCCATGCTCCCTTGAGGTTTCTTGTCACTGCCCTGGAAGTACTGGAGGTTCGAGCCTGTTTGGAAGAACTCGCCTTCGACAGGTAGCGAGGATGAGTTAGGCGACCAAGAAGGAAGCCGCAGCATAATAGTGTTGTCGCTTATTAGGCTGGGTCGTTTCGAACCGGTTGCTTGAAACCGGTCAAGCAAGTAACACGTCCAAAAGAGTCGGCGTCGCATCTCGCGTTCAACTGGAGTCATTCGAGCCTGGCCGTCAGTTTCCTTATGGATCTCTAGCGCCATGGCCATGCCAGTGGCACTTGCTATATCTTGTTAGCACCATTGACTGGTATCTGGGGCAATGCCGCTGCTTACTCATAAGCATGTACGCCTTCTTCCCTTTTCCTGTCGCAGTGAAGGCACTGACCAACAACAGAAGAGCCTGCAATCCATCTATGGACGGCTCGTCGATGTTGATCTCTCGTCTAGCTCGTGCTGCAAGGTCTTCACTAAGGTTGGCAGCCGCTTGATATCCACTAGGGTCGGTGGTGTGTCTGAATACGGTCAGCATAGGGGTCTGTGTTATTGAGGGGAAACAAACCTCGCTGCTACGGCTGAAATGGAAAAGGAGAGAAATCGAGGGAGCTGGTTGAGTTGGAGTCTTTGTCGGATAGAGGATTCATCAACGATATAGTATGGTTTCCCATGAAACCTGGCAAAATATGTATCGAGCAAGACCTCGGCTTGGGCTGGAGGGGGAGACAAATCACTAGGGAGCGAGTCAGTTATCAAGCCAGGGTAGAAAAGCGACTACAACACAAACCGAGCTGTTGGAGTATGCGGAGAAAGCGATGCCGTATCGCCAGGAGACGCACGCGCGTCTACTGTGGCACGTTTGGTTGTCGACTCGCCAACTTCAGTGACTTGAGAACCATTCTCAGAAGCTTCTCCCTTGCCAGCTCCTGGCAAATTTGAGCTTGCAAGCGACACATCGTCTTCGCCCTTCTCTCTTAGTTTTGCCTCGAGCCCGTCAACTCTTTTCAAAAGTGCTTCCAATACGTCTGTCTTTGGTCCACGTTTTTTGGGGACCGCGTCTGCAGCTGAGTTAGCCTTCGCTGCTGGGTCGGGGCCGGCACAGTGATGCTGAGAAACCCAAAACGACAAGACACAAGTTATGTGATGAAGTGGCGACTTACCATAAATGCAAGGGCATTGGAACACCTGACAAGCCTCGCAGGAAGGTCGGAGTCGGTTGCATTTAATCTGTGGCAATGCTAGTAAGAATCATTGTTCTTGCAAACACATAGTAATGTCTCACCTTTCGCTTTCGGCACGACTTGCAGTTCATTGATTCGCGTGGCTCATTGCTCATGCGACGAGTTGGAAGGCGCTCAATGCCAACTTGAGGTCGGGGAATGGCCACGGGGTGGACTCCAGGTATGTGAGGAACGTTCATGGCGTCGTATATGGAAGTAGTCATAGCTATGCTGGTGGTAACGAGTGAAATCTGCCGGTGATCGAGGTCGTGATTCGGTTTGTTGGTATTGTCTCAGAGAACTTATACCAGAGTAAATGAGAGACAATGATGCGGGAAAGACAAGACAAGAAAAGAATGATTGGAGTGTCGTTGATGAGCTATCAGAA